TTACATTAACCACTGTTTTGAACTTTAGCTGCCACAAAGAGGAGTTGTATTAGTAGCACCACTCAAACTAAGAAATGATGCAGGGTATTATTTTCAAAAGTAAATTATCCTGCTTCAACTACTGTAAAAAGCTGATGTTCCTCAAGCTGTGTTTTAAAGTCAGTAACATTAGAAACTTTTTTATTGATGGGTGCTCTCAGAAGATGATTGGAAGGAAGTGCCTGGTCTCTTGACTCTGAATTGGGGTTCTTTAAGTGGCCATTGATCCTGAGAGGCACCCAGTTTTTACTTACTATCATCTTAGTGGAAAGTGTCCCAAAAGTCTTAGTGCAGTTTCAAGCTTAGTGTAATTTAAAACTGCAGTGAGACTTTTGGGGCATCCCATTTGGGGCATATTTATTTCTCACCATGGTTCCCAGGCATCTTAGATTCCTTTAAAGTGATACAGAATTCTCAGAAGTGGAAAAAAAAATACTTATGCAAAAGAGTTGGTTTAGATGATGTACCCCCTTTCTTTGTATCCATCCCCAGTGCTCAGTACAGTGCCCAGCACACAGTAGGCATTTAATAAATGTTTTTAAACTATTGACTGGCTAGTGTAAAATGCTCTACATACTTTAAAGTTTTTTATAAATGCTAGCTATGGTTAGTGATGGGTGGTTGATATTTTTTCTTTTGAAAACTGTTCATACTTGATTCTTGTTTGGCCAATGACTCATACGTATCTGTGTCAGTTACCTATATGTCTTGGATATTTGACTTCTGGCTTCCATGGGAGAAATCTGTGGGGAGGAACAGGGAAAGGGAGAAGGATTCCTGCTGAATAAGGAGAAGGAAATTAGGGAGAGATTTGGACTGGTGAAGTCAGTCAGAGATTGTCTCAGGGAGGCAAATTTTGGGGAGAGTTGGCTGGAGAAAAGTCTTCAGAACTAGGAAATAGCTTCGATTCTACTTCTGGGTTGAAACAGGATGATAAAAGACAAATAAAAGAATTAAGGGGGGTTCTGGAGGATGACAGAGAATGAGGGAGGAGAACCTGAAGCAGCCGGGTTGTGCCTGAGGATGGGGCCCAGGCCTCTGGACCTTCAAGGAGATATAGAGATGGCAGATGTCTAGTAGGAGATGAGAACCCTGCATAGGCAGGTAAGACAGTATTTGCCAGCTGCCTTGCAAGTCTCGTCAAAAAAAAAAAAACCAAAACCTTATTCTCAGGTATTGAAAGAATTGGCAGGTGTGCTTGCTAAGCTTTTCCCGAAGTAGAGAGAGAAGAATGCATCCCCCCTACCCCAAACCCCCAGCTCCCCTTTATTTGTAGAACTTGGAGTCTCTGGATGTGGAAGGCTGCTTTTAATGTCAGAATTGTTGAAGATATCGATTAGTGTTGCCATTTTTCGTCTTTTTTTTTTTTTTCCAAAGCTCTTTGTAATAAAGGCTGATTGTCTGTTTGGGAAGAAGGAGAAATATATTGAGGCCTCCAAGGTCCCTTCTAGTTCTAAATCTATGGTTCTTTGATTTTTACTAGTGAGGAAACTGAGGTCTAGACATTAGTAAGTCAGAACGCCGTGTCTGAGCCTTTCTTTTCCTGTGCTGGATTTCCCCAGCCATTAGAGGAAATGAAAGTCTCTTAATCTTTCCAGTGAACATGCCTGCTCTGGTGCTAAGCTGGGCACCCCTTGCCAGCGCTGCTGCTTTGTATAGTTCAGTTAATGAACAAGCATTTATTAAATGCGGCTTTATGCCAGGCATCGTGTAAATCAGTGGGGATACATACAGATTTGAAAAGGAAATTGTCCCTGTGACAGTTAGGTGCATCTAAGTAAACACAAGGTGGGTCCTGGCATCTGGGGGAGGGGGAGGGCCAAGCCAGGGCTCCTGGGGGAAGTGGTCTCTGAGCTGAAAGGGGAAGGAGGCTGGGGCCTCCAGGAGGTGGAAGTGAGGCCGAGGGGAGGGGCAGAGACGATAGACTGGCAGCCTGTGGCGGCCTGTTGGGACCTGAAGCAGAGAGGAAGGTGACTTAAGTTTGGAAATGTTGGCCCAGACCAGCTGGTGAAGGCCTTTGAGGCATAGGCAGAGGAGGTTGTGTTTGCTCCTACAGGAAATGGGGAGCCGTGGAAGCTTCTTGGTCAGCGGAGTGATGCGGTCAGACCTGGGTTTTAGAAATGCCCTTGGCAGCCAGAGGGGGGATGGGCTGGAGAAGAAGTCATTGAGGCAAGGGTGTCAGGGAATGAGGAGGGCCTGGGCTAGCGTGGGGCCAGTATAAGTGGATGGAAGGGGAAGCTTGGGGAAGGCTGTGGAGGCAGAGAGTGGAGAAGACTCCCCAGAATTCGTCTTCCTCGTCTTTGACAGTGACAATGACTCTGCCCAGGTCAGCCTCACCCAGAATGCTACGGAGCCATGTGGGGTTCACCAAGGCTTTGTGGCTTTGTACGGGGAGGCAGTGTGGCCTAGTGGCAATCTGCAGAGTTCACCTTAGCACACCTGACATACCGCCTGCGTGGAAGACACTGCTGAAGCCCCAGCTGGTCGGTGGCCAAACCCCTGAGCCTCTCTGGGCTTCAGAGGCTGAAGGATTCAGATCCTTTGGGCTATGGCTCCAGTCTCCTTTAGAGCCCTGGGCACGGCCTGCTGCTGGTAGTCCTGTTGATTCATCTTCTGGTCATGTGGTACTTGAATCAGCTCCTTTTTGCCATGTTGCTAAAATAAACTTTATACTGTGGATCTGGCAGCTCTAATTTTGTTTCCCTCTGTGTTTTGCTTTCATCCTGCCTGCCTCTTCTTATGTCCTATCCTACGTTTATCTTCCTGCATTTATTTCTGCTGATTTGAACAAATACTTCTACTTTGGCTGATGTGTTCTTCTGTTGTGCTAAGGCAAAAAAAAAAAAGCAGAAGGATAAAGCTTTTTTTCCCCTACTTGGCTATGAATTCTTATAAAATTTCCTCCTACAAATCCAGTTCTGTCAGGGAGAAAAGTGGACAAAATCTCAATCTTTCAAAAGTCAGCACTGGCTCCTACCTTCACCAACTCAGAATTTATATCACAGTTGTTGTGTGTCCCCCATCTGTCCTAAGTTATTAGTAGAAGAGCAGAAGCAAAAGAGAAATCATAAATATAAAAAACAAAACCCAACCAACTTGCTTAGGTATAAAATAAAGAGATCCAAAGCTTGAGCATTAAGGTAGATCCAGAGACAAATGGTCAAGAGCTTTGTTCCCCTTGGATTCCTCAGGAAATTTCTTTATCATTAATGCCTTTGATTACTGTTAAGTTAATTGGCTTTACTAATGGAGATCTAAAATATGAAAGATTTTTAATATAGGTGAGAGAACCTATGTACAATGCCATTGGTTACCATGCTCATTCAGGTCGAGGGCCCGATAGGAGGATTTAAACAAGATGTGGAATAGATGCAAAACCTGAAAGAGACATTCTTAGTAATGGTACTTGATTGAAAGTCAGCGTTGATTTGTGTAACACTCAGGTGACCAGGAGACTCCCAGCATAGAAACAGATGTTGGTGAGATTCTGAAGAAGAAATCTTAGTAGAGAGAGACCAAGAACAGCAGGCATTTTTGTGATGTTGGGGGGCATTTTGTGGAAATAAACTTTAGATAATCTTTCTAGTCACATGAAAGTAGATTTCCCTAAAAAATAAAATTGCCTTAATCCAGTCATTGATCCAAAGTGCTCACCACCCTCAGGACTTAACTACAAGTTAACTTTGCATCAATCCATTAATAAGCTGAATACTTTTCTAATTTGGGAGTTGAAACAGAAGAGACGATCATGACTACTGCAGACAACACAACTCAGGTTAGGATAGTCTGCTATTCACCCGCCAAGGGTGTATGCAAGGAAGTAGGACCTGTGTGTGTTGTTGATTCTTTCCAGGCTGCCACCATTCTGTACCTGAAACCAAATCTCAGGACTCAGTTTTGAACAGCCTGGAGATGTTTATGTGGTTGGAGTTGGTGGATCTTACAAGAAGTACCTGGCCAATAGGGAGTTGAGGCAATGTTCACATTAATCACTTCCATTTCTGTGGTGTGGGTTGCCAAGTGCTTTCTTCACACCCACCCTCCGAGGTCAGGAGAACAAGTATTGTCTGTATGTTACAGGTAAAGATTTGGAGAGCTCCATGGTGCCTTATGGCAGCCCTCTCAGCCAGCTAGTAAGTGGTCCAGTGAGACATCACAAAAATCACTCCCTGGAAACTTTAGGTTGAAGAAACCCAGCTAGGAATACTCACAGGACCTACAAATCACTTACGCCAAGGCTTGCCATGTGTTGAGACAGTTGCCATCCTTGGGAAATGACCCAATTTATTAACTAGAGCCTCAGATTTTTGAGAGGTATTAATGATTTGTTCAGATGATCCAGGTATACAGTTTGAGAGCTGGTGTCTTTGAGTTCTTTTGTTTTCTCAGAAGAACCCAAGTGTTTTCCCAGTGAAGTGAGACAATGAGAGCATTTTGTAGAACTTTACTGCATTTTTAGCATTGGTTTTGACACAGTATATGTTGTAAGTGGGTTTTTTGTTGTTGTTGTTGTTGTTTGTTTGTTTGTTTGTTTTTTGCTTTTTGGTGAGGCAGTCAGTATTAAGTGACTTGCCCAGGGTCACACAGCTAGTAAGTGTCATGTGTCTGAGGCCAGATTTGAACTCAGGTCCTTCTGACTCCAAGGCTGGAGCTCTATCCACTGGGCCATCTAGCTGCCCTTATGTTGTAAATGTTTTATTAGAAAGCTGATTTACTGTAAAGTGCATGACTTATGAGCATTTTCTAAAATCTGAATTTTTTCAATTTGAGGGATGCTGGTCCCCCCCACCCCCCACATATCTCTGAAATTCAGGTGCAAAGTATGAAGAAGATAAGATTGATTTACACAAATTAAATTTCCATTCATCCTTTCAGGAACTAATCTTCCATAACAAGAGGTACCCTGTGTATTTGAGAAATCTAGGTGTTTCTAAAATAGCTAAGTCACTGAAGACAGACACTACATTTAAAATGTTTTAATTCAATTGAAGAAATGGATATAAACATCTTAGAAAATGATGACATTTTATGGATTATAACTTCTAAGAAATTTAGTACAACTCCTTGTTGTTACAGGCCCTCTTTTATTACTGTAAAGGGGACAACTGGCTTGTAAAACTCCTGAGCAGAGAGCTATCTGTTAACTTTAAACATTAAGCAGATATTTTCTGTGCTTTGAAATTTAGCAGTTAGATACTGTGCCAAACTCAGCAAATAGTCAAGTGTCTGACAAGACTTCCTACTCCAGGGGAAGCACTTTTTAATATTTACATGAATTTAAGAGAGTTTTAAGCAGTTTGAATGGAAGTCTAAGTTGGGTGGCAGTTCATTTTCCCCATCATTGAAAGGGGAAAAAATAAAGCTAATCTTTTGTAAAAGTCTTCCCATCAGCAAGCTGTGATCGTTTATGATAACTCTGCAGGTGGTGGCGGCAGTGACTCATCCAAAGCCTGTTGACTAGAGTCATCAGGAGTAGGACACTGGGTCTGTAATGCGGGGGAAGCTGCATTCTGAACTTCTGAGCTGTATTCCTCCTGGTCTTTGAGGAGTGCTTCTGGAGGAGGGGGCAGCTGGGAAGGGTCAGAGAGAGGAGGAATTGGCTGCCCGCCCGCAGAGTCGAGACAGTCCAGAGGAGGCGGTAGATGAGAGAAATCATTTTCAAGTGAGTTAGATGAGTCAGGCTTCTGATTTTCTGGCCCATCTAAGTCAAGAAGAGGAGGAGCTGGAGTCACTTCCGTCTCCTCTGAAGAAGAAATAGCAGTGCCAACTGTCGATCCGTCAGCACTCTCGTCTGATGTCCCATTTGGGTGGTCTTTCATTTTCTCCACATCTGACTTAGGACATTCATCAAGATTTTCACTTGAGTCAAACAATTTAACATCCAGGTCATCTGCTAAGAGCATGCTTTTGTTTGGTTTCCATATCTCGAGTGAAACAATTGATGAACGTTTTATGGATTTTCCATTTTCTGTGCTATAGTCCATAGACATATCTGGAGTTACTCCATCGGCAAAGGGAGACCGGCCAGCCCAGTTTTGGTCATTGAGGATTGGTTTTCTAAAGCATTTCCAGAGTACAATCATAAATATAGTGACGATCATAGAAGTTAGAATTGTACCAATCAACACACCAGCTATTGAATTGGCTGTAGAGCTTTGAGGTTTTGTTTGGGGGGGATTGTTATTCTTTTCTTCGTAGAATTCTGGAGTAACGACTGTTGATGCTGACTGCCTAGTGGAGCTGGGGCCAAATGAAGATGCTGGTGGTTTCTTGGAGGAGCTGTGGACTGTTGTTACAGGTGGTTGCCTGGTGGAGCTGGGGCCAGATGATGCTGGTGATTGCCTAGTGGAGTTGGGGACAGATGATGCTGGTGATTGACTGGAGGAGTTGAGGGCTGGTGGTCCTGGTGATTGACTGGAGGAGTTATGGGTGGGTGATTCTGGTGGTTGCCTTGTGGAATTGAAGACAAGTGATGCTATTGGCTGACTGGAGGGCTTGGGGACAGGTGACACTGGTGTTTGACCAGAAGACTTGGGGATGGATGATAATGGTGGTTGTCCAGAGGAAGTGAGAACAGCTGATGCTGGTAGTTGTCCAGAGGATCCAGGGACAGGTGAAATTGGTGGTTGCCCAGAGGTCTGGGAGGTGGGTGATGGTGGTGGTAGTCCTGAAGGAGTGTTGATCAATTGTAATGGTTGACTGAGAGGGTTCTCTGTTCCATTTCCAAAATTAGCTGATGTATCTGATATTGATGATTTAAAAGGAGTCGTCTGAGGTGAGACTGTTGAGTATGCCTGTGTTTCTGTTAGACTTGTGTTTGTCAAGTAGCCACAGAAGAGCATTAGGATGAAATGCTTGGGATCCATTTCAAAAGCCTAAACCATAACAAGGCAATTTTTTCCCCCACTGTAAAAGAAAACAGAGGAACAATTAGCTATCATTGGGGGGGGGGGGGGCATAGCTAACCTTGGTTTACTTTATCTCTACATTAAGAAGTGATACAGTGAAATGTCACTAAAGGACTGTGTGCCGTTTATGGAGGACCGGTATATGGACAGACTCACTGTCCAGCTGACCAAGGTGACTGTGCGGTGGTGTACTTTGCAGCCACGTGAAAGTGATTTACAAAGACAGAGGAGGGGTGCAGTTCAAATCAGTGAAGGGGGTACTCAAACCTAAGAAAGGACAGATCCTCAAAGTGTTTGCAATACACCAAAAGCTAATGCAGAGAACTTTTCCTCGTTCAGGGACCGGACCAATTGTTCCTACTGTGTTGGCATAAATTTCTCTGATTCTAAAGTAAAACAAGTAAACTCTCCACCCCTTCTTTAATCCAGCTGCCCTGTTATTTTCCCTTATTTCACTGCCAAATGTCTCAATGTGCGATGGCTGTCCCCACTTGCTGTTCGCTTAAAGCACTTGCACGATGGGGTTACCCTGCACGTGTACTCTTTGTACTCTGAAGCGTCCAGTGACCAACCATCTCATCACTGAGTACTATGGTCTCTGCTTCCCCAATCTGCAGCACTGTTGCTGGTGACCCATCTCTCATGGCCTTGACTTGACTTTTATTTGATACTAATTTGTCCAGAAGACTTACTTAGCAATCATTTTAGGCTTTCTGCTTACATTAAAATGAATGTGCTCATTGTAATTTATTAAGGACATATTTCACCCTTAATTCTTAAGAAGCCAAGCATAGACAATTCTGATTTCAAAGGCTGACTGTATTAATATTGCCATAACACTAAGATTCTATTTTAATCAAGGCCACCAAAAGAGGAAATGCTTTCATGACTAGCAGACCATCCTGCCCCAGATTCCATGATTGACCTCATGCCCCATCACACCAGCTTGAAAATCTTCTCTTAGTTTTCAGGAATGCTACCCCATCTTGGCTTTCACCTTTTCTAGCTGTGCCCCACCCTTGGATCTGCTCTTCCTATAATCTCTCTCCCTTTGGAGATATCATCTCTGTGCAGATAACGCCTAAGTCTTCACAGTAACCAGCACTAAGCACAGTGCCTGGCACATAGTAGGTGCTTAATAAACATTTATTGACTGATTGACGTCTGACCTGCCATCTGGAGCTTCCGTCCCATATTTCCAGCTCCTTGTTAGACATTGTTGCTTTGAAAACCTGCTGTTACCTCACATTTAAAATATTTAAACTTCTCTTCTTTCTCCCCAAAATCGACTTCCTCTCCTGACTTCTCTATTTCTATTAATGGTACCAGCATCTTTCCATTTAGCCCAGTGTAGAGTAAGTCAAGAAAACAATCCCAATTATACCATTTCTGACATTTATTAATTGTATAATCATGGGCAAGTTATTAAACCTTCTGCCTCAGTTTCTTCATTTGTAAAATGAGGTTGATAGTAACTGTAGCATCTACCTCACAGCATGTTGATGAGCCCTTAATGGGATTATATGTAAAATCATTTGGTAAACTTTAAAATGCTTTTGAAAAAGTATTATAATTGTTGTTATTATTATTAAAACTCTGCTCCATCCTCCCTGTGTGACTTTGGGCAGAAGGCACTGTACCTTCTGCATATAGTGAGGGTTGGACTAGAATGAGGATGCACAGCATGATCGGTGGCATCCCTCCATCCCTCCCAGCTCTTCCTTTATTCTCATCCCAGGGTTCTTCCTCCTTCAGGGCCTCGAAGGCGCTTTACATCTAGACTACATAGGCAGCCTCACACCATGTCTCCCACCCATGCCCTGCCAGATTCGGAGGGAGAAAGGACTGAACACCCTCATTTCACAGACGGAGGATCAGGCCTTAGGAAAAACCTTGGCTACTTTGGGCATCATACAGGGGGGAAGTAGCAATCAGTGAACATTCCGTCACCATTTTGTGCCAAGTCAAGTGCTAAGCATTGGGAAAGAAAGAAAGGCTCTTGGCCTCAAGGAGCTTGCATTCTAATGGAGGAGACCAGATATAAATAAACAAGGCTACATAAGATCAGTGGGGATGAACAGGTGGAAGGTGGTCCGGGGGAGAGGGGAGATAGAGCCATACTCTGAAGCCGTGTCTTCTTGTGACTCCAGCTGCACCACACCACATGTGCTAAGGCCTAGGGACTTTTGCCATCTTGACTTCCCTTTCCCACTTGGATGAACCACTGATCTCACCACTCTTGCTTCTCCAGCCAAACTACTTTTCAAGTTCCCTGGCTCAGAGCTGTCTAATGTCTTTTCTATCTGTCCAAATCCATCAAGACCCTGCTTGACTCCTACTGCTGATTGGAGCCAGCAGGAGCCTCAGTCTTCATTTTGGGGTTGGGGAAGCCACGTCCCAAAGAAGTTCAGTGCCTTCTCAGGTAGGCAGCTTCAGAGGCCGGGGATTTGACTCAGCTCTAAGTCCAGAGCCAGGGCCCATGTGGCCTTCCCCAGGGAACCATCAAGTGCTAGGGGTTACCTTCCCTACTCCACCATAACCTAGATCTGCTCTTGACTCTGCCCCTTTTCCCACAGTCTCTCTGGAAAAGGTGGGGAAGGATCATGGTGGTTTTCCTAAAGCCATTCCTAGAACACTCCAGCCTGATGTGCTTCTTTCTTCATTTGAACTCCAGGAATGATCATTGTTATTATATTTCCTCTGGGAACTAATCATGAACTGACTTAGGACATTGCAGGAAAGGGATAAGCTTCCCCCACCCCACTCCCATCTAGATTGTGAATTCCTTGACAGCTGGAATTGTCTTATGGCATTCAAAGAGTCATTTTCTTAGTCCTTTCCTCTCCTCCTCCATTCCATTTCCCAAAATTAGGATGTAATATTCCACATAGTGGGTGCACAGTGAACATTTTCTTCCATCTGGGCCACTACTTTTGGCCATCTCACTGCTTATCAACAACAATAATAATAATAACGAATATTTGTGTAGCATTTGAAGGTTTGCAAGATGCTTTATAAATACTACCTCATTTGATTCCCATAACAACCCTGGAAGGTTGTTATGATACATTAATAAGAAGTAGCCTACGGATGAGGCAAATAGAGGTTAAGTGGCTTGCCTAGGGTCATACAGATAGTAAGGGTCTGAAGCTAGATTTGAACTCAGGTCTTCCTGACCCCATGTCTAGCACCCTATCCACTGTCTCATCTAGTGTTCTATCAGCAGGTGTTCATTGAATGCCCACTATATGCCAGGCACTGTGGTAGGTAATGGGGATACAAAGACAGAAATGAAATTGTCCCTGCTCTCAGGTAGTTTATGTTCTATATTAATGCTGCTAAAAATCCAAGTTAGCTTTGAGGGTCATAGACCCCTGCATTAATGCTGGCAGGGATCTTGGAGATCATTTAAGCCAACCCTTTCGTTTCATAGTTGAGGAAACTGAGGCCTTGAGGGGCAAAGGGTCATAGGGGTGGCCAAGCTGGATCTGAACCTTGGTTCTTGAGCTCCCAATCCAGCCTCCTCCCAGGGCCCTGCTCTTGTTTGATGAATGTCTTTGATCAACTTGGGTAGAAATTCTAGAGGAGGCACCCATTATAGTCATTGGCTTCAACTAAATGTTGGGTTATTCCTGCTATCCCTGTTAGTATGAATGATAAAACGTTGGCTTCCTTGGAAAACATTCCTGGCAATTCTTGAATCAACAGAAAATAGACATGTGAAATTTAAAAAATGTATTCAGCCACAGGTATTTGCCATTTTGTGGCTTTACTTAAAAATAAAGTTCAGTGTAATATTCCTTGTTCCAGTTAACTAAAAAATCATGAGAAGGAAAATACTTAAGGCAAAGGTAGAATGAACAACTTTTAAGGAACCTGTTCAAATGTAGAAGATCCTGTTTTATGTTCACACCCTTTCTTGTCAACAGGAAAGTAGAAATAACCACAGCTTTGTGAAAGCGATGATTCCCCTGCCATTTAAGGAGTATACCTGCTCCAGTCCAAAACCCTGGGCTGCTACCTCTCTCCCTGCTGCCACTGTCTGTTTTGCAGTGTTGGGATTGATGAAACTCCTGGGGCGATAAGGGACAAGACTTGAAACCCTGAGATCAGTGTCATTCTCCTTGTGACAAGCTGCTGAACTATGAACATTGGGGTGGGGAACATACGTGGTGTCATGTGGTATCTCCTACCAGCCTTCAGCTGTTCTCATGGAAGACAGAAACACACACATTGAGAAAAGCGGCAGAGAGCGCCGTCCCCTTGGCTGCCCATTATAGCTCTCCTGGTGACCCGTTGGCTTTGTGAATATGGAGAGTATAACCTTTCTGGGCCTCATTTTCTTTATCTGGGCTGTAGGAGCTCCAAGATGCCTCTCCCCACTAATTGAGCCAAAATGGAAGAAGGAGACAGTTGAGGGCCAAAAGAAATGAAGAAAGCGTTCAGTTCAGCCTGTGTTTGTTCAGGTGTCCACTGGGCAGTGTAGAAGGAAAGGAACAAGGGACATCCATCAGCAGCTGCTTATGAAGTACTTACTATGGGCCAGGTGCTGCACAAAGAGAACACGAGAAAGGAAGGAGAGAATTTTAAAAATAAATTAGAAAATGTGTGAAATGGAAAAAGATCTTGAGGAGAGATAAGTAAAAATAAAAGAGAGTTGGGGGAATAAGTCAGCTTGGATGCCGTGCGCCCCATGAAATCTTCCGCAAATCCCCCAGCTGACATGGAACTCCTCTCCTTTATCCCCGTCAGGAGCTGTGCCTTGTAATCACCCTCATCTGTGGATATGCATTACCCCAACCCCTCTGCACCCCCAAGAGCGTAAGCTGTTTGGGCATAGAGGTCCACCGTTACCTACCATTTCATACCTTATATATTATAGACTCTCGATGGGATCAGGTGCATGTATCTGTCAGGGCGGGGACTCATGGGGGCACATGGGAAACCGGAGCCAAGAAGAAGCACTTATCGGGGGGCAGCTGAGGTCGGTGACCCCCAAGGGAAGGTTCCAGTGAACCAGTGTATTCTCCATAACAGATCTATAGTCCCACCCTGCTAATCACCACCCCCTCCCCTGCGCCCCAAGAAAAATAAGAAGGAGAAAAAGAGCGCACTAAAATGATCAGTAACATATGGTCAAGATGCAGTAGCTACGAAATAAGATTAGGGATAAATGGAGAATAGTTACTCTAGTTATCTTGAACATCATAGGGTAAACAGAGGCAGCTGTTGGTACAGTGGATAGAACAGTAGAGTTCTGGAGTCAAGAAGACCTGAGTTCAAATCTAGCTTCAGATACTTATTAGCTATGTGTCCTTGGGAAAGTAACTGAACCTCTGTTTGCCTCAGTTTCCTTATCTATGAAATGGGAATGATCATGAGGATTGAATGAGATAAAAAAAATTGTGTAAAGTACCTAGCACAGTGCCTGGCACATAGTCAAATTAACTATTATTACACTATTAGTAAGTAGGTTGAAAGTCCAGTATCAGATCAGTGATGCGCATTCGCATGAGGTATTTGGCTTAGACATTAAGAAGTACTTCTTAAATATGATTGTGGAACATGGAGAAAACATTTGAAATTTTCTTCTGGAGATTGGGAGAGAACTAGACAGTGGGGGGGGGGGGGTTAGGTGCAGGTTTTGCTTTAAAGAGGGTAGAAGTTTTGTTTTGCTTTTTTGGAGGTCCTTTCAGCTCCGTGAGAACACTGGGTGACTGACCACAAGCCACCATCACTTTTCTACATTAGCAGCTTTGGTCATTTTATTCAAACTGGCCATTCCGTAAAGCATAGATTTTATTTAAAAAAACAAGGCAGCTTTGTTTAGCATTTGCTTTCCATTCCATCCAGGTAGAATCAAGCTCAAAATAATTTAAAAATAGAATGAAAACATCCTTAAACACTAAACGCCTAAATTCAGGAATGGCATTTTTGAAGAATCTGAGAATAGGGAAACTACTCTGGGGGAAATACCACTTTTATGTTTCTGAATTAATATCTTAAAGGAGGAGGTACAAAAGAATCTTGAATAGTAGAATTTTAAAAGCAAATTTGGACATATTAGGGATTTCTAGCTTCATGTGCAATCTTCTGTTTGATTACATATATGGAAATGCTGATTTTATTTGGTGTTTAAGTTCAGAATTAAATTAATTTTTAAAAATTAAATTAAAAATTTTTATGGAAAGACAACATAGGAGCCTTTATAGGGAGACATGATAGGAGTATTTCCTTGTCCTTATGAAGTAGATTTACTTAATTTCTGATAATTCCTACTATTTGTACATGCAGTAAATTTATAGAGCATTTTCAGATTTAAAAAACCCAAACAAACCAGGAATATTTTGTAGTGTCCAATTCCTACAGAGCCGGCATCTTAATTGCCTAAATTTTGGTAATGTTTACTTATTCCGAAGTAGTAAGTCAACAGATGTTAACTGCAATAGGGTTTCTTACGAACATTATTTTGTTTAGTACTCTATGAGACCAGGTTCTTTGTACTTTCTTTCTGTGCAGATTGGGGAAATTCAGAATTTTATTATTTAATTTGATCATTGTAAGGCAGTAAACAGAACCTTGAGCAAAAATCCACTATGCCTAAATTTGTCTTTAGGAAGTGCGATCCACATCCAGGGACTAGAGCAGTAAGCATCAGGTAATTATTTGGGTAACTAGTGCGCCTCTGAATAGTCGTGTAAAGACACAGAGCCGTGAGCCAATTTAGAGAGCGCTAGGTTGCCCCATCCTTTCCCCTCCGTTTATAGAAGAGGAAATTTGCCCCAGATTGTCCAGTGTCATCTCAGGCTCCTTCCAGCTCTGAAACACCGTGATGCTGTGAGGTTTTGGGGGGAGGCAGCCGAGGAATTGAAAGGCCCTACTCCTGGTGACTACATTTGTCCTTTCTCTTCTTCAGTTACGTTTGTACGTAATTGCCACAGTGCAAGCTACAAAATTCAGTTTTGGCGAGAAAAGACAATGATGAATAATTCATTGATAATTTGGTAGTTAGATTTTTTTTTTTGGAAGTCTTTTAAAAATGAAATGAAAAGAACATGAATGTTCTCATTTCCTGGTTGTGGACTTTGGTAATTTTTAAATAACAGTAGTCAGTGACAATTTTAAGATTCTGAAATATCTCAAACCAAAAGTTCAACTTTTCAGGAAATAAAATGTCAGACTCCTCATGTTGTGGGTCTGTTTTCAGTGCATATGATCGTATTGCTGCTATCCTCAGTTTTCTGGATTATTCAAGTTTTTCTGCACTTGGAAATTTTTATGATTTTAAACATGGAACAATTCATTAATAAATTGCGGGTGAATGCCTCTTGCCATTCAAGTAAAGCCTTACTAAGAAAGTTCCTTAAAATTCTGGAATTTTGGACTTCAGCTAAAAATGTTTCTGCTAGCAGAGCTCAGTAGCTGATTTTATTTGTTTCCATTTTGATAGACACAATAAGATTACAATGAAAGCCTCATCAGCCCATCCATGTAGTTAATAAAAGCAATTTGGCCATCCTCCAGGCCAGTGAAGAATACCAATTATTAATTTTAATAGGAAACCATCGTAAACAAAGAGAAACCCAAAGATAAATGCCCGCGTGAAAATTGCTCCTTACCTCCGCCGTACCTTTCTTGTCAACAAGGGATGGCCTTATCGGTGGTTTGACAAAGAAAGCAGAAGTTGTTGCTGAACCCACTCTAAGATGGGGCCTGTGGAGAGGTTTGAGGAGGAGGAGGAAGTGAAGCAATTATTGCTTCAGGCCGTGTAGAGAGCAACAGAAAGAATGATTCACCCAATGTACTTCGAACTCAGCACCCACTCACATGCGCTCCCCTGAGAGATCTTGTGAGTCCTGGGCATCCGCTGACAAATAGACAGTTGGACCTCAGGGAACTGACATGCCTGCTTCATGGGCTATGTAGAGCTAGCCCTGAGGAAAAAGGAGGCTTCTGTCTCTGTGACTGTGTCCACATTTCCTCTGGATGTCTCTGAGATCATCAGGTGAAATTGTTTTCTTAATGACGTGACTAACGTTCATTTAAAAAATCTGCCAGTTAAGCTGACAGTCAGAGGACTAGTGATACTTGGTGCTATCAGAAAATAGAAGACATCAAGTTGTTACCAAAATATTTCTCCCTGTCAAGTGTGGCCGTTACTGGAGGAGATTATGTCAGTAAAGTGGCTGCTGGAGCACCATCAACATTCATGACAAATGATTAACTGTAAATGCCCTCGCTGGTGGAGGCAGCCCATTTTAATGAAGAATATTTGATCTACAGAAGGAGTATAAAGATAGCACCTTTTACTTAATCTTGCAATCAAAAATTATCCTGATTCCTTTATTTCAGCCAATCGTAATGCTGAGGTGTCATTACTTAAGAAGTGGTGGTGTGGTGCAGGGTGCCCGGAGGATCTGGGTTCTGATCTTGACTCTTCTGCTCAGTACCTGTCTAAGTGTAGCAAGTCACGTCACACTGGGCCTCAATCTAGGCCTGTAAAATAAGGAACTTGTACTAGATAGCTGATATGGTCACTTCCAGCTCTTAAGGTGTGGTCTAGAACTTCTAGGGCAGGAATCCTTAAGCCAAAGTTTGGTTAATTTGTCTTTTAAAAAATATTTTGATAATGATATTTCAGTGTGATTGGTTTCCTTTATAATTTCATGTATTTAAAAAACATGATTCTGAAAAAGAGTCCATAAATATCATTAGATTACCCAAGGTAACCAAGACACAACAGAGATTAAGAATCCCAACTCTGTAATGTTTGAGATGAGTGAAAAAATACAACTTGAGATTTTGGTAATTCAGATACCAATTTTTTCCTGATTTATTACTTTATAATTTAATTTGTCTGGAGTTAAAAATCCGTTCAGCAGAAGTAAAATGATCATTTACAAATTCCATTTCTGTAGTGCTTTCCCTCACAAAAAATCAGTGAGTTTGATAACAGAAGTATAATTTGTTTCCCATTTTACAAATGAGGAAACTCAGTGTCAGAATTAAGTGAGTTGTCATTAAATAGTAAGTATTGAAACCCATGACTGTCCTCACTCAACTCTAGCACCATTTTTTCATTTAGTATTTCTAGTATCTCCTTTTTTTTTTTGAGTATGTAATTTTTGTTAAATTGAAAGTACACCTATCTGGCATTGTCACAAAAATTTGCTTAAGTGCGTATTTAGTCTTCCTTTTTTTTTTTTTTAACATGGGACTGAGGTGAATGACATGTTTGACTTAATGGAGAAATAAGACCAGGAGTGTAACTGGTAAAAATGTAAAATCTGTACCTGGATGACTCTTGGCACAAAGCCCAAGCTTAATGGCTTCATATGGGGATGAGGGTTTGACAGGTGTGTGTTCAGTAAAAAGGGATACCTGTGGCAAAGCAGCTTCAGCAGCGTGGTCCCAACCGTACGTGGCTTGGCTCGTGTCACTTTTGATTTGTCCCTTTAACAAATTATCCAGTATTGTTTAAGGGAGGATTATCTGGGATGGGGATCTTACTCTTTCCAACGCCTTTTGGGGGGGCCTTTTTTCCTTGCTGGCTTTCTTTCTGAGGGCATCATTGGATATTGTTTGGGCCATTTGGGGAAGTCGTTGTGATGCCCTTAATATCATTCAGAATTTGGGGTTTTCTGTTATTTCTAAAATAATCAGCTCATGAAGGAAGGCCATGCAGAAGTCCTTTTATATTTGCTTCTGGGTGCTTCTAGAACTAATATATTACTGTTCTTTGGTCCTTTTTCTTTAAAAAACAAAACAAAATTTTATCTTTAGCTTTTGTTTTTACATCAGGCATATCCTACATTGCTCTCATACTCCGCCCAGTTTCTCACCCCTAGCCTTCTCTGGAGGTGAGGTTGGTCATTAGAGTTAGACAGTGTTCAGTTTCACTGTCCTGGATTTCTAATTGATCTTGACTGGACTTTTGCTGCAAGCTTCTGTCAACAGACACAGAAGCCTACTATATGTGTAAAGCCCCATGGGAAAGTTCTTGGTACCCAAAGATAAAAGGAATTTATAATTTAATAGGAGTAGATAAAAGTGCTTAGAGAGGTTGAAAGTACTAATAACGATCCAAAGAAGTAGGTAGAGATAGCAAGGGAGATTTCCTGGAGGGCGTTGAACCAGGCGGCATTGGGCAGCAAAGGCCCTGGAGGCCTAATGATTGTTAGGAGACCGAGGCAGAGTGGAAAAAGGGTAGATTGAGTGTGTAGTAGAATAAGTGAAGGAGAGTGATGTAGAGTAAAGGCAGTTTGGGGGTGGAGTAGGGGACTTGAGTGGCAGGCTAAGGAGCTTGGCACTGGAGAACATTGGAAAGTCTTAGCCGCAGAGTGATGGGATCAGATCTCTGCCTGAGGAATATCAGCCTGGCACTGGTGTGTTGAGGGAGTGACAGAGCCCAGGGGACGGAAGGAGGGAGCCGGATGGGGAGTCCCTGCGGTCTCAGAGCCAAGGACTCTGAGTGTGAAAGGCTGGTTTTCCCCCCCTACGCGGAACAGGACAGATTTGGGAGGTCACACGTGGTCAGTTTTTTATTTTGCGCAGGTTTAGTTGGAGGACCTGGCAAGACCTTCAGGCTACAGCTGGAAATGTGGTTCTGATGCTTATGTTGAAAGTGGGCGTGTTGATTTGGAAGTCCTGGGCAGAAAGATGGTAGTTGTGGGATGTGTCATTGTGTATAAAGGATGGGAGAGGAAGGAGGAGAATCAGTTTATCAGTCAGCATGCATTTATTAAGCGCCCACTGTGTTCCAGGCACACCGTGCAGGCCTCTGGAAATACAAAAAGGTGAAAGAGTCCTTGGCCTCAAGAGAAGCTCAATTCTTTTGGGGGAAAGAGTGGAACAGAAAATAATGAGAAGGAAGCATCCAACTGTGCAGAGAAAGCCAGGATGATGGCACCTTGGCCATCCCATTGCCATCAGTGACCTGGGAAAGGCCAGCTTGAGTCGGAGGCTGGAGGAATGAGCTGGAGGGGAGCAAACATCAAGGAGGTTGGCATGGGGAGTGTAGGCAGTGTTTTCAAGGAGCAAGCGTCCATGGTCATGAGGTTACTTTCGCCAACTTTTATGCAGCACAAAATGAAAGATTGATTCCAGTATTTATCATGTAAAATAGCATTTTAATAAGCTTTCTGAATTCTTGCACATAATGGAAAGATCAACACATCACTGACTTACAGCAAGCTTTGTGGCAGTGGGAGGCATTGCTGTGTCAGACTGTAGACCTTTAGGTGAGTTAGAATTGTGATAGCTTCTGTTACCAGGTAGAGAAGCAAGCAGCTGGTTGTGAGGATAGACCTAAACTAGACCCATTTAAATTATTTTGACCGGATCCAGATGGAGTTTCTCCCAAGTCCTCTTGCTGAACATGGTGAATGCTTGTTTCTCTCTGTCTGTCTCCTGCCAGCCCTTCCTCTGTTTCTCTACATTTCACGTTCTTTACTGCCTTATTTTTAAATAAGGATCTTCCAGGATCTTTGGTTACTTGACATCTCAAGTCCCTTCTTGATCTGTGTCCTGTGAAGCCATGAAATCTTTAGCGTCAAAATAAAAGTGCGTAGCTCTTAGGATTTGACTGAATGGGATCATAGGCCCTGTATGTAGTCCAAACATTCTCACCCTATAGATCAGAAAACTGAGGCCCCTAATAAAGGTGAAGTGACTTGGCCAGGGCTACACAGTAGTAGAAGAGTCAGGATTCGAACCCGATCTGTTGACTGGTCCCCTAGGCAGGCATACTTTTCCCTGTCATCCTTTCTGTCTGACCTTTGGTTTCCAGGTTTGCCGTGTCAGGTTCTAGGCTACCAGCAATAAAAATACCAGCTTACTCTATTTCTGCTGGAAGCCTTCACAACCCAACTTTATTGATCCCTTTCATTTACCCGTTCTCAATGGGTGAGTTTCTCTGTTGCTCCCTTGTCTTTTCTTTCCCTTGGAAGGGTGAGGGTGCCAGTGGCCTGCAGCATCAGTTGGGCCCCGGTGAGCTGTTCTGCTCTTTTCCCAGTGTCAGATTCCGCCGGCCACAGGCCACTGCTTGCCAGAAAGTCCCCATTGCTTCTTGTCTGTCGCTTACAGACTGGTTTGGATCGCTTGAGTGAAGACACTCGGTTTGCCAGAATCACAGTGGACAGAAATAGGAGGGTGCAGATAAGAAAGAGCACCGCAATGATGATCAAGCACACCAGCATGGCCATTTTGCTGTTGCTCTCCTCACAAATGTCCCTCTTAAAGATGTCGTCCTGGCTCTTGCTTGTGCGCTCAATGCTCTGCATTGTTGGAGTGCTACTGTCCTTAGGAGGAGAAGGTGTGTTGAGGTCATGTCCAGATGGAGGAGCTAAGGACAAGGAGTGAGGTGATGGTGTCCTCACCTTGGGCATGCTGGGAGTATTTACCACATCTGTTTCTGGAGTCTCCGGGTTTATGGGGCTTCTATCCTCGCTCCTGTTTGTTTTATTCTGAAGGATGGGATCCCAGTCGGTACTGTTTATAACCCAGAGGGACGTGGCATTTGCTTTTGCTTGAGGAAGCCAGGAAAAGATGGTGGTTGCCAGAAGAGCAGCATGCAGGTAACATCCTGTAGGTTCCATGGCCAAGCTCACCTGGTAATCAGTCTGTTGAGTTATAAATACAGTTAATTAAGTGATCAAGGAATAGACATAAGGTGTTAGTTTACAATGGTTTTAGTCAAAACGACGGGAAGCTATGATGTTACAAGTAGAACTTAAGTATTTGTTTTTGTAGCACATGCATGTTTAAGGTTTCCCCGACCTAGTTGAATGAACTCCAGTTTAACTGAATTACATACCCTTGACTCTTGGGCTGTGTTGCATTAGGAAACCTTTAAATCTCTCAGATATGCTTCTAAATGCAGGAAGATGGAGGAAGAAAGCATTACAAAGAGTATTAATCATTTTTAAATGTTGTGCACAAGGGAGCTCTGTGGTCATTTCTTCCTTTCAGGCAGGCCAGACTTCAGCTTTGAGTCATTTGCTTCTGCTTTTACTTTTTTTAATTCCTTTTTTTTTTCCTATGGTTAAGGATCCTTTGCAAAAACTTCCCCACCCTCTAAGCAAATGTATGACTGTATTGTAAAAGGAGAAGTCTAACTAGGAGACATTTTGCCTTAGGATAGAAGAGAAAAGCAACTAGGCAATTCATTTGAATAAAAACAAGAATTCTTTTAATTAGTCATTATGATCATTCATTTCAGCGGAACACAGTGAACCAAATTTATTTCTTGAAGACAGTCTAACTTTGCTGTGGAGAAGTCATTTCCATCCCTGCCCCGACACCCACCCCCATCTCCAGCACACATCCTTCTCACTCCTTGCTTCTGCTTTCCCCTGCTTTATGAGGGCCGGGCCATTTTGTTAGACTGAAAATCACAGCAGTACAGAGGAAAAAGAAGCAGGGCTCATCCCGGCTCATTAAAAATGTGCAGCTTGTTTCAGGGTATAAGCAGAATCTAAGAGGAAAGGATTTTGTTTGCCTTTGAGAGAGACAAGTTGAACAATCGTGACTTTTTTTAAACAGTTACTTAGCTTTATGTTTTATGGTTGAGTTTTCTGGGGAAGGAGAGGCAAGCAGACTTGATTGCCTTCTTAGATTAATAAGCCATATTGCTTCTAGTAAGAGTTCAGCACAGATTTTCAATGAAAAGTGTGTCTTGTTCAAGAAAACACTTATTTTGTTAGGTGTGTTATTTGTGTACCTCTTTGCTCAGAGCTGTGCTCTGAAAAAAACTAATAGGATTATACATTGAATCCCACACAAGAGACAGAATACCCAACTCAAACTTGACCTTCAGAATTTTCTGTTTTACTGAGATGACTGAGGGTGAGGTGGAAATCTTATAAGATGTGTTAAGATTTAACTGAATTTTGGGATTGTGAGTTCATATGGTTAATATGCTCATTGGCACATTAATTAGGCTTTTTATTTTATTATAGTTTTTTTTTCAAGTTTAGATGTTAAGGCAGAGTCTTTAGGAGAAGCATGTTACCGTTTTGTAATTAACTGTATAGAAGAGTTAGAGATCGGCTATCCAAAATCTTACATGTAAAATTATCTTCAAGCACTTAGTGGTGAGTCAGTTGCAAAAAGAGAGACCTTTAAGTTCAGTCAAAGACTTAACGTTGGGAGCGCTCATCTGCATTTGATGTTTTGAACATAGGAAATGTGTTTACTCATGACCACTTTATAATTCGTTAACTGTGCCCTGTCCCCAAACACATATCTTTGCACGTTGCCCAAATGATGACAATGGTCACCACTGAACACACAATGGGCCCCACTGTTCATTGTCTCTGGCCAGATGGTCTACCACCCCGAGTAAACAAACTGGCCTCCCCAAGTGAGGGCTTCACATAGACCCCGATCCAGATGAAGGACTCTTGGGAGCTCCTCACTTCTCTCTCTCACAGCAAGATTATGTTTTAGAAATGTCTATGGGTGAGTTTAGGGTAAAATCTAGAATGCCCAGCCACAAGAAGTTACTTTTCTAATACTGTTTAGTCAAAACGTTAGTAACTTTTGAACTCCATTTTTGATGGGAAATTTGCCAATCCTAGGCAAAACCTCCAACCTGTTTGAAGAAGACATTTCATCCCTTTGGTGGTTAATAGCCCTATTTTATTAGTGAGAGTCTTTGCTGGGGAAGTGCCCTTGGCACATTCTTCCTGGAGCCCTATCCCTGCCGAGCATAAGAAAAGGTCTTTTTGACATACCTTCCAGGAGCTGCTCACAATCTGATAGTAAAGGGAGTGTTTTAGCCCCCGCTTCTCTGGCTCTTCTGGAAACACGCTGACAAAAACCTGAGCTCACAGGAGATGCAGAGTGTGAAAACTGAAATAAATCTGCAGCAAGGAGGGCGGCCTGGCTGCGAGCTCTCCACTTTGAAAATGAAAACCACAGATGACACATTTCCTTTCAGCTGCAGCTCAAGCACATGTCAGAGGAGGGAAAAAACCCTCCATTGCATCCAATTTGCCTCAGGCCTGACAGGAAGCTTTGTGAACTAATCCCCGCCTTAGAGGCGGGGCAGGGAAGGTTTTCCATTGACCCATCCTCACCTCAAACTCTCTGGACCTGGGCCTCCCAAGGCATCCAGTCCCTGCATTGAGGAGATAGCATCCTCCCTCAGAGTAGAAACATCTTTGCTAAAGAGCCTCCGCAGCAGGCATGTTGTCAGGGTCTAGACCGCTGCACCTGATCCCTGACCCCAGTGCCGCTGGCAACAACGAGCGTTCTGCCTGTGATGGAAAGCTAAGCTGTGCCTTTGAGTACTTGTGAGCTTTATGATAATGCAGGCTGGGGCACAGAGTGCAGTGAGAACACTAGAAAGGATGATGTCACTTCCAAGCCTTTCAGACTGTGGTGGGGTGACCCGTGGTTCCTTTAAGTGCGCCAGCAGCATCCGCTGCTCCCCAGCAAGCTTTCCTGTGCCTCCTCCAAGCTGAGCTGCTGCGCTGAGCTTTGAGCTTGTCCAGGAGAGGATGCCAAGAGAAAGGCTCAAGTCAGTGACCTTCCCTGTCTAAACATGGCTAGATCCCTCGTGGGGAAAGGAGTGAGTGTGTGGGTTTCTGAAAAGGCCATCCTAAAAAACTCACCTATTGCTGTACTAGAAATCATCAAATAGAGATGACACCCTGAAAAATGGTTGAAAGTATCCTTTAGAAGCGTGTAGACTTATTACCTCCGTGCTTTCACCAGCAAAATGGAATGACTTGAGACGCTGACCTCTGAAGTCCCTTCGGACTCTGAATCTATAAACCGTAAACCTCTCTGTGGGTGACTGCCAGCATCGCTCAGTCGACAGGCATTTACTAATCACCTGCTACATGGCAGGCCCTGCGCTCAGCACTAGGGATACCTGTGCTGCTGTTGTAGTCGTAGGGATGAGGAAAGGCTTCCTGTACCAGATGATTCTGTCGATGCATCTTAAAAGGAAGACATGTCCCCTCTTCTGTGGCAGTCAGGAGGCAGGACATGCCAGGTCTGTGGGAGAACCAGTGCAAAGGCACGAGGTGGGGCATGGACAGGCAGTCCTACGTGAGGAGCAGAGTGAAGGCCAGTTTGGGCGGATCGCACATTATGAAAGGTGGAGTAGCATACGGGGACGCAGCTTGGAGCTCGGTTGTAAAGGGCTAGAGTTCCTGTTTTATCCTGAGGTGATGGGGTGCCCCTGGAGTGGATTGAGTCAGCTGGAATCCCACTTAACCAACTGTCTAATGGCCATTTCTCTTCAGGTAGCCTCAGACCTGGAAGTCCCTGCTTGATTCTCCCTTCTTCGTCCCTGCTCGTCTTCCTCATCGGATCGCCCCCTTCCCTTTTATCCTCCCTTCGGCCGTCATAGTGCTCCGCCCCTGCATTTCATTCTCAGACCACGCAGATGGTTGCCTTCCCAGTTCCTCACCACTCCAGACTGCCTTCTTTCCTTCCTGTAATTACTCGCTGTTCCTCAGTCTTTCCAGCTCCTGTGATTGATTCCTCCAGCTCCTCTCCCTCCCGCCCCCCCCCCCAGCTGTTCTGGGGCCGTGTTTGTCACTTCATCTCTCCCTGTGGCTCACTCCTGCTAAACCTAGACTTCGTTCTCCCTGTGACCTCTAGACCTTTCCCTCTCAGAGCCCTCCCATCCCATCACGGTTGTTTTGGCTACATTCTTTTCCCTTCCTAACTTTAATCTGTTGGTTAACCAGTTCAGTTGTACACTCCCCTCTCCTCTCCTCTCAGTTCGCTTGTTTCCTTAACCTATGACTGCTCACCCGAACCTTGCCAAGTTCAGCTCTGGATCACTCCCACTATCTTATCTCCTTCACTGCTGCTCACACACTCCTGAATAGAACTGGAGGGTGTAAGAGGTGATGGTGGCATAGTGGACAGAGTGCTGGGCGTGATTCAGGAGACCAGAGTTGAAATCCAGCCTCAGACCCTGGGCAAGTCAACTTAGCCTCTGTCTGCCTCAGTTTCCTCAACTCCAAAATGGGGATGATAATAGCACAGCTATTCTGAGGATCAAATGAGATCATTATAAAGCGTTTAGTTCAGTGTCTAAAACATCATTAATGTTAGCTGTGATGATGATAATGTCACAAAGCTCTGCTGAGTGTGCTGTACATTAATATTATCAGATCTCAACCAGGTGCTCACTGCAGCATAGCAGTCTTTTCACTACTCTCAGACTGATTCTCTCAACCATCAGCACAGCGGTCGTTCTAAGCCTCTTTTGTCTCCTCACACCTTCCACAGTACCCTCTTCCTGCCTCATTTCAGCCTCATACTTCACAAAAAAAAAAAAATTAGTAAATTGAGACCAGTTGTCAAAATGTCACTCTTCTCCCCTTCTCATTTCAGATTCCCCTGATATTATCCCCAAATATTGCTTCCTTTGCTGCAGTCTCTGATAAAGAGGTAGCTCTTCACTTACCAAGGCTAACTCCTCTCTGTGTGCCCTCGATCTCATCTCTTCCTGCAAATTGTCCCCATTATTAACTACCTCTCCTCCCTAATCTTTCTATCCCCTTATCAACTGGTTCTTTTTTTGTGACCAACCAACATGGGCAACTCTCACCCATCCTTACAAAGCCCTCCCCCTTGGCTTTCATCTTTCTTTATATATAAAAAATATATTGTATATATAAATATATATTATATATAAAAATATTGTATATTTTCTTTTCTTCATCATCTCTCTTCCCCTTGGCTAAACTCTCTGAAAAAGCCGCCCCAGTGCTGCCTCCACTTCCCTTCTCTCTGTCTCTGTCACACACACACACACACACACACACGCACGCACGCACGCACGCACGCACGCACGCACGCGCGCGCACCCCACCCCTCTCCTGCAGTTTGGCTTCAGACCTCAACCTTTGGCTGAAACCACCCTCTCCAGAGTTCTCATGGATCCCTCGATTGCTACCTCTCATAACCTTTTCTCAGTCTTCCTTCCTCTTGACCTCTTGGTCTGTGACCCGGTAGCCCAGCCCTTCCTGAATTCACTCCCCCCACAGGTTTTCTTGCCCATGCTCTCTCTTTTTTCCCTCTCGTCTGCCTGATTACTTCCCCCCTTCTTTGCTACACTACCATCTGTCCCGTGTTTCCTCTGTCTCCCTGTCATGGGCCCAGCTGGGTGCCCCCATCTTTGCCCAGGGCCTTTCCTGTCCCTTTGAACCATGAACTCCCTTTAAGACCCTCTAGAAACTGGCCCCATCCCTCTTTTCCAGCTTGGCTGCTCACTCTGCCACCGTATCGTTCACGTATTGTTCCCTAAAAATACTCACACTTTCTTGCTAGCATGCTTTACCTCAAATGCTCCTGGAATGCTCTTCCTCCTCCCCCATCCAGACTCTTGTCTCCACGACTCATCTGTTGATCAGTAGTGCCGCGTAAGCTCCTCAAAGGAAGAGACTGAGACTGATGGTACTACTTCCCAGCCCTGGTAGCTTTCAGCACATAGTAGGTGTTTCTCATCTGGTGCCCACGATTGATTATTGATTCGTAGCAGAGATTTCTGATGACGCTGGTCCCCCCTTGGTTCTTTACTTTTTGCCTCTGTTACTCTTGTGAGGTACACACCTCTCCACTTTTTCGTCACTCCTGAGTGTCACTGAACATTGATGCTATGGAAGGTCCTAGGAGCAGTGAAAGCCTCCAATCTGTGTCCCGAGTTTGCACAATTGAGTTATAGTGTCATTTTCTATGATTGCTTCTCTCCCCACCTGTTAAAGAGGGCACGAGAAGGAGGGTTAGCAGTGCTTGTATAGGTGCAAACTTGGGTTGCCGTTGGCTTACCAGCTTCTCTTTGTCATCTTGCTTAGGTTCAAGACTGGTCAGATCAATGGGGATTTGCTGATATACCATGTCTTACTAACTTTAAAGCCATATTATGCGAAGCCATACGAGATTGTGATGGACCTCACCCATGCCGGGCCTAGCAATCGCTTTAAGACAGACTTCCTCTCCAAGTGGTTTGTTGTTTTCCCGGGCTTTGCTTACGAGAACGTCTCTTCGGTCTACATCTACAACTGTAATTCTTGGGTGAGGGAGTACACCAAGTACCACGAGAGGCTGCTCACCGGACTCAAAGGCAGCAAAAGACTCTTTTTCATAGATTCTCCCGCAAAACTGGCCGAGCACATAGATTACGATCAGCAAAAGCTGCCGGCCGCCACCTTGGCTCTGGATGAGGACCTCAAGGTATACAACAGTGCTCTCAAGCTGGCTCACAAGGACACCAAGGTGACCCTCAAAGTAAGTTTTCCTTTACGTGGCCCATTGCCACAAAACCGGGGTGTCCCCAGGTGGCGCACAGCACCTGTCAGAACAGAAGCAGCCCATGAAGCTCTGAGCAGTCTTTGGGGGGGTATCCAGCTGGTCTGGACTTGCTAGGTTGCTGGGGGGCAGAGGGGCACAGCAGTATTGCAAGCCATTTAAGTGGTGGCAAAGGCAGGAGGATAGATGGGACTCTATTTAACAGGACTTTTTTTTTTTTTTTTTTGTAAGGTAATCAGGGTTAAGTGACTTGCCCAGGGTCACACATCTAGTAAGTGTCAAGTGTCTGAGACTCAGGTCCTCCTGACTCCAAGGACAGAGCTCTGTTCATTGCACTACCTAGCTGCCCCTTGGACTCTAGTTTAAGGCAAAGGAGTCAGTCCAACCAATGGCTCAAGAGTTCTTGGTCATAGCCTCATAGTCATTACAATTTTTTAAAAGCCTGAGACGCAAACTTTGAAGAGCTTAATTTTTCAAATACAAATATTTCAGAGATTTCTCTAGCTAGCATGTATATAGTACTTCAAGGTTTGCAAAACACTTTACATGTTTTATCTTATTTGGTCCTCATAATGACCTTGTGAGGTAGGTGCTATTATTATCCCCATTTTACAGATGAGAAAAGTCAATCGGGCAATGGTTAAATGACTTTCTAATGGCCACACAACTAGTAAGTTTCTGAAGTGAGATTTGAGCTCAGGTCTTCCTGATTCCAGGTCTAGTGCTCTAGACTTTCCAACTTGCTTTGAGTATCCTGAAGGATTTGGGGTGACTTAAAAATTAGGTTAACACCACAATCACATTTTTGTTTAGTGCTTTATGATTTACAGATTGCTCTCCTCACAACAACCCTGTGAGAAAGATAGTATGAGTACAGGGTATACAAAATTCTTAGTAAGATGTTAATCTGTTAAGGCTTAAGCTTGGGTGCCGTCTCTCTTAGTCCTTGCCTTAGAGCCTGGGAATGAGTGCAGAGAGGCCAGATTATTGGTGGACCCAGCCCCCAGGCTGCTGGCTCCCCAGCCCATCAGTTCTTACCTTCCCTTAAAGGATGGACACTGCAGTGATGGCCGAGCACGTGCGTTAACTAGTGGAATATGGCTGCTTTTGTCTTTCCAGGTTGGCTCTACTGCAATTCAAGTGACATCGTCTGAGCGAACTAAAGTCCTGGGGCAGACGGTTTTTCTGAACGATATTTACTATGCCTCTGAGATTGAAGAAATCTGTCTTGTGGATGAAAACCAGTTCACCCTGACCATTTCCAATCAGGGCACTCCCCTCACCTTCATGCATCAAGAGTGTGAAGGCATTGTCGCGTCCATCATTCACATCCGAACTAGATGGGAGCTGTCACAGCCAGACTCCATCCCCCAGCACACTAAGATCCGGCCAAAGGATGTTCCTGGAACACTTTTGAATATTGCATTACTTAACCTGGGGAGCTCGGACCCTAGTTTACGGTAGTTTGCTCTTAAATTTGTTTAGACCTCACAGACTGCTTAAGTAACTGACAAAGTGACATAAAAGCTTTAAGCAGATCCACTATAACACTGTAAATTGGAAAGTCAGGATGCAGTCTGGACTGGATGAATCCAACTGCATCCGTATACTGTCATGTTGGCCATCCAAGAAATGTCACCAAATGCATATAACACTGACCTGGCAACTTCTTAGAGGAAAGAGCCACTTAAAAAAAAAAATCATATTTAACTCTGCTTCTTTTCCATCTTCATCTCCCTTGGGGTAGTTTTCTCATGTTGGAAAGTCTATCTCAGGTTTTCTAAGAATCAAATGACATTGTCATTGTTTATAATGGAGGACCTAAAATGGAATAACTCAAAAAGTTACATAATCTACCATTCACATAGAATTTTTAAAAAAGTAATTCTTGATAAAAGCGAACATAGATGGTACCAAAAGCAGTGTAGTCTTGGTTCTGCTTAAGCTTATTAATTAATTAATTTATGAGTTTCCTTAAATACCATAGTTAGGGTAATTCCTTGTCCCAGTTGTATGTAATACACAGTCCCACATTTTTCCAACTAGAATTCTCAGGGCTGGAAAAAAGTTTTCGTAAGATACAGGGTGGCCCAGATTCTATATTGGATCCTTCAGGTTCTCAAAATCGAGAGGGAGAGAGAGACAGAGAGACACAGAGAGAGTGTGTGTAACATAAGTATGTTTGCACAGACATGCATAGGCATATCAAAAGAATGCCTGAAGTGGGAGATACTGAAATCTTAGCAATAACTGTGACATTGATTTCTCAGTTGAAGTGGGTTTTAAGTTGTAAGTTTCTCTTCAGCCTCCAGATTGGAAGCTCTTCTGGATAACCATTATAGTCATACTTTAGGAACATTAGCTTGAGTTTTCTTTAAAAATGTTGGTTTTTCTTTAATGAGTTGATGTGAACTATCAACTCTGTTTTGGCACATCAACACCCTCACAAAATATTGCAGCCGCCAAGTTACAGGAAGGCTATTTGCTAATGGAAATCTTCTTTCTAGCTATCAGTAATTATAATATTATATAACATAATAAAGATGCTTAGTTGAAGAAAACTTTATTTCGCAGAGTAGTTAAGCCATCATTTGATTCCATTACATTTGGGAGCCAGGGGTGAGGGCAGGAGGACCTTGGTTTTTCTTTTTCTTTTTGTTTTCCTTTTTCTTTTCTTTTCTTTTCTCTCCTTTCTTTCTTTTTTTTTTTTTTAAGGCAGGTGGGGTTAAGTGACTTGCCCAGGGTCACACAGCTAGTAAATGTCAAGTGTTTGGTCTGAGGCCAGATTTGAACTCAGGTCCTCCTGACTTTAGGACCGGCGCTGTATTCACTGCACCACCTAGCTGCCCCAAATTATCTAGATTTTTTTGTTTTTAGTGAGGCAGTCGGGGTTAAGTGACTTGCCCAGGGTGACACAGCTAGTAAATGTCTAGCGTGTGGATTTGAACTCAGGTCCTCCTGACTCCAAGGCCAGAGCTCTATCCACTAAGCCACCTAGCTGCCCTCAGTTTTTCAAAATATCCCTTTTCTGTTGCTTTTATTTAGTAATTATCCTCTGCACATTTTATGTGTTCCCTTCATGGTGGCAGTTTTTGTTTCCAGCCATTGGGGGTCATATTTAATAATCAGACCATTTGGAAATTTCATTTGTGTGAAAGGGAGATAAAGAAAGAATGAAGATTTGTGGCATAAATTAAGTTGGGTTTGAGTTTTTTTGTTTGTTTGTAAAGCCTAATCATACTCATCTTCAGCAGATAGTAAACCTTATAGGATGCTGAGCATCTTGTACCCAGGAGACATTTGGATTGAAGATGCTGGAATTTGAATTTATTTTCATTTGATTAGTGATTGCAGCATCTAAATTAGTGATTGCAGCATTTGTGTGACTTCTATTACCAGTGATTTCTGTATTATTAACTTGATCTAATTGGTCAGATTAGTGTGCACACAGTGCCAGCTTCTAGAAGAACTGAGGATTTTAAGATTTAGAGATTGAAGGACCCTTAAAGAGCTATTCCGGTTTGATCAGCTTGAAAATAGATTGTAGTCCCAAAGTTTTCCAGGGAGCAAGTAGCAAAGCTGGGATTCAGCCCCAGATTTTCTGCCTCCAAACTCAGCCCTCTCTTTGATTTTATATTAAATGGAAGTGTTTCCCTCTGCCTCTCTCCCAGTTTACTGTCTCAGACCTAGCCCTTCCTATAGGGAATTTCTCTGTCTTTTGCAGCCACCTACCTCACAATGCTATCATGAGTAGGTTAAAAATATTCATTTAGAAGAAACAACTGAGATACCGCCACCCTGATGATTTGAAGTATTCTTGTTTGACCACAGAACCTGAACAATTTACCCATAATTCCTTCAAAATGTAAAAAGTAGCAGATTATACTATAATCTCTTTGTTAAAATATCATTTGTTGTATGTGTTAAAATGACATTTTCAAATTTGGAAGAAATGTTGAAATGGCTTCATTTGTGTTTTCTTCCAGGTCAGCTGCCTATAATCTTCTCTGTGCCTTAACCTGTACCTTTAATTTAAAAATTGAGGGCCAATTACTAGAAACATCAGGTCTGTGTATACCTGCCAACAATACCCTTTTTATTGTCTCTATTAGTAAAACCCTGGCAGCTAATGAGCCACACCTCACCTTAGAATTTTTGGAAGAATGCATTTCCGGATTTAGCAAATCCAGTAAGTAGTGGCAATTTTCTTACAGGCTACAAATGAACCTAAGAAAATGTTTTTGGTTTTGGGATTTGAGAATGAAGCCTTTCACTTGTCACCTTGTCAGCTGGCGGGGGGGGGGGGGGGGGGGGGGGGGGGGGGGTGTTGATTATCAAAGGCTGAGGAAGAACCTTGGCCCCAGCAGGTGTTGAGAACAGCACACCCACTCCCTCAATCAAGCTGTAACCACATGTTCTGTCCTCTCTCTGGTAGTGTCCTTTCATTGACAGTGGCATGAATCGGCTCTAAATTCCAGATCCTGAGTCAGACCTTGATTAAGGGAGGAACTAGGGATGGGGAGAGATACTTGGTGAGCTTTACCAAGGGCGTTTTAGGCACCAGTAAATCCTTCCCCCCTTCCCCACAAAATAAAAGGTCTTTGCAAGTTTTCTCTACTTCTCCTACAATAAAATGTTTCAGGACAAATTTGATTTGTCTTGAATTTTGTATAATGATTGATGAAAGCTTTGATTAGTCCATCAAAGCAGTTGAGAGCCTTTAAAAAAAAAAGGTTTAGTGCCTTCTAATCTTTAAGCATTTTTCTTTTCAGCAACTGTCAAACCATGTCACAATTCATCCTCATCTTTATAGTAACATGTGCTATATCACTTCCCAAATGTAATTGAAGATAATACTGCCCTTGGAAGGTCGTCCCCCCCCCCCCCTTCAAGTTTCCTAATTTGGGGTTACTTAGGTTTATACTAATCTTCTGCCAGTAATTTTGCTCAAACAAAACAAAACCAAAAAAATAACCACTCAGCAGTGCAATTGTGATAAAGTCGATGTACTGATTTGGGAAATTTCTTTTCCAGGTATTGAATTGAAGCACCTGTGTCTAGAGTACATGACTCCCTGGCTATCAAATCTAGTCCGTTTCTGTAAACACAATGACGATGCCAAACGGCAGAGAGTCACTGCTATTCTTGATAAACTGATAACCATGACCATCAACGAGAAGCAGATGTACCCGTCCATCCAAGCCAAGATATGGGGGAGCCTCGGGCAGGTATTCGTGTTGCAGAAAGTCGGCTTTGGGCGCTCATCGGCACATTTAGATGCGGTTAATTTTTTTTTAAATTTAAGGTTTATTTAGTATTTTATTTTCCCCAAGTTACATGTAAAAACAATTTTTAACATTCGTTTTTAAAACTTTTGAGTTCCAAATTCTCTTCCTTCTTCTGTCCCCCCACCATTGAGAAGGAAGGCAAGCAGTTGCCTGATATACATTATACATGTGTAGTCATGCAAAACATATCCATAATAGTCATGTTATGAAAGAAGACATAGACCTCCAAAAAAAAAACTCAAGAAAAATGAAATAAAAGAAAGTATGCTTCAATCTCTATTTAGATACTATCAGTTCTTTCTCTGGGGATGGATGGCATTTTTTATCATAAGTCCTTCAGAGTTGTCATGGATCATTGTATTGCTGAGAAGAGCTAAGTCATTCACAGAGTCCATTTGCTGTTGCTTTGTACACAGTACATTTCATTTTGCATCAGCCCATGCAGGTCTTTCCAGGTTTTTCTGAGAGCATCCTGCTCATCATCTCTTAGAGTACAATAGTATTCCATCATAATCACATACCACAACTTGTTCAGCCATTCCCCAATTGATGGGCATCCCCTCAACTTCTAATTCTTTGCCCTCAAAAAAGAGCTGCTATAAATGTTTGTGTACATATAGGTCCTCTCCTTTTTTTTTTTTAATCTCTTTTGGAATACAGACATAGTAATGGTATTCCTAGGTCAAAGAGTAGGCACGGTTTTATAGCCCTTTGGACATAGTTCCAAATTGCTCTCCAGAGTGGTTGAATCAGTTCCCAACTCCACCAACAGTGCATTAATGTCTCATTTTTCCCACATCTAGATGGGGTTAATTTTCAATAGAGATAGTATTTGAGAAGGAAAGATAAGTTCCTATAGCATCATAGTTTGTGCACCCCAGTCTCGTAGAAGGTGACTAAAAGAGTTTGATCTGGCTTCTAGCATCACATAATAATCACTTGGTTGAAGCAAGTTAAATGCCAAGGCTGTTACCAAGAGAGGATCACTAAATGAGTTAATTGGAAAAGTGCTTTGTAAACTCTAGGTTAGTATATAAATTTGAGCTACTCTAGATGATGGTGTTCCCATTTGGGAAGGCTCCCAAAGGCTGTTCTGGCAGAACCAAAGCAGCAATATCGAAATCTACAGAATGCTTTCCCTTTCAGAACAGTCACCATAGAAAGCTGTTCCTTTCTTGCGGTGATCCCAGTCAAAATGTTTCTGAAAGAGCCAGTCAACAGATGGTCCCTTTGCCCAGCCTTGTCACTTTGTAGCCCTCCCTGCCTGAGATCTGGATCTGTTATGGGGTCAGTTCTTTATAGCAGACCTACTTAACTTTTCTAGAGTAGGTCAGGTCCACTAGAGTAAAAAATTATCCAGGGAAAAGAAACAAGGGTTCAGGGAGTATTAAGTAAGATGCCTGACTCATGATCTGCACATTAATCAGATGAGCAAATTTGCCATTCCTTATAGAGCACTTTTATTTAAAGCTAATGCTGGGAAGGCTGATACTGAGACAGAAGAAGGCAGCCTTGTTCATTTGGCTAATTTCTGAACGTTTCAAAGGAAAAATTCAGGGGCTGTATATAGAACTGCGGTTAGAGGGTATTTCTTTGTTTTGTTTTTGTTTTGTGGTTGTGTTTTACCGTTTTCTCCTTTAGATTACAGATCTGCTTGATGTAGTGCTGGACAGCTTCATCAAAACCAGTGCCACAGGTGGCTTGGGGTCCATCAAGGCTGAAGTGATGGCCGACACGGCCGTGGCGCTGGCTTCTGGGAATGTGAAACTAGTGTCCAGCAAGGTGGGCTCTTTGTCTCTGTGCCCTGCATTCTGGCCTCTTGGGTCACTGTTAGTTTCACTCTCAAGAGTTCTAAAACATCTAGAACAGCAAGCTCGTCATTTTACAATTAAATCGAATTATTTTATGCTAATATTTGTACCTCTTGTGTCACTCTAACAACAACAAAAACTCACAAAGTCTTGCTTCTTTCCAGGTGATTGGAAGAATGTGCAAAATAATTGACAAGACCTGCCTGTCTCCAACTCCTACCTTAGAACAACACCTCATGTGGGATGACATCGCCATTTTAGCACGCTACATGCTGATGCTGTCCTTCAATAACTCTCTGGATGTGGCGGCTCACCTTCCCTACCTCTTCCACGTGGTGACTTTGTTGGTGGCCACAGGTCCCTTGTCACTCCGTGCTTCTACACACGGACTGGTCATCAATATCATCCACTCTCTGTGCACTTGTTCACAACCTCATTTTAGTGGTGAGTGAGAGATGTTTCACTGGCCCTGCTCTCAGGGCCTTCCTCGGCTGCCATATTACTTTGGCTTGGGCTTAGATAAGGCCGGAGTAACGGTCTCAGGAGAAAGAGAGACATGTTTTTGGCCTCAGTTCCCAACAGGTTTCAGGGCAGCCATGTAGACTCTTGAGATGGAGCTCACCAGTCAGATCTGTAGCATGGACATGAGTTGACACCTGGGGGCTTTGTAGCTAGCCACTGAATCCAAAGCCATGTGGATCCATATAACCCTGGAGCTAAGGGCAGTGCTGTTTAAGTCGTTGGCTCTGTACCTTTGGTGCCTGGCCTAGTTCTGAGTGCAGGGGAACTAAAGGATGGAGGGATTCATAGAGGGTCTTGTTGGCTTCATTAACTCTTGAGGGCAGTGTCTGTATTCTTGTTTAATTTCACAGAAGAGACCAAGCAAGTTTTACGACTGAGTCTGACTGAGTTCTCACTGCCCAAGTTTTACTTGCTGTTTGGCATCAGCAAAGTCAAATCGGCTGCTGTGATAGCCTTCCGGTCCAGTTACCGGGACAGGTCTTTCTCCCCCGGCTCCTATGAGAGGGAGACCTTTGCCTTGGCATCCCTGGAGACAGTCACAGAAGCTCTCTTGGAGATCATGGAGGTACGATGGGGGGGACAATGAGAAACAGGATGAATCCAATAGGAGATCTCACATGCTTTCTACTGTGTGCTGTTGTCAGCCAGTAAAATCTCCCTGAGGTGTTTATATTTTTAAACCTTTTGGTGAAATGGGTGGCTCAATAGCAAATTTTCTCAGTGTTTGTATCTGCACCTTCACATACATGGAGATATATTTCAAGAGTGTTTTCTTTTAGGCTTGTATGAGAGATATTCCCGCATGCAAGTGGCTGGACCAGTGGACAGAGCTAGCCCAGAGGTATGGAGGGCTCCCCCATTCTCCATGGCCCTTGCTCTTCAGTAGCTGCATGTGGGGAGGAGGTCTGTGAGATGGCTTCTTTTGATTTTACAGGTTCGCATTCCAGTATAATCCATCCCTGCAGCCAAGAGCCTTGGTTGTGTTTGGTTGTATCAGCAAAAGAGTGTCCCACGGGCAGATCAAGCAGATTATCCGCATTCTTAGCAAGGTATTTTTTCTTTGGTCTCCGATGCTTGTGGGTCAGAGATTCTTCACAAGACCCTCCCATTTTTCTAGAGGACACTTAACTGTAGTTCTGTCCCGTTTGTTCTTCTGAAAGGTGCTTTGATTATTTTCTTCATTTTAATTCATGGGAAGAAAACAAGACTATGTACGAGATATTTTTGAAAGAGGGTGACGTCTGGTCCCCAAGCAGATGTGGGAGTGGGGGCGTTGTTTTTGCTAAACTGGAACTGAAAAGTTTGCCAAAATCAGGCTCCCCAAAGCTCCTCAGCTTTGAACTGTGAGCACGTGATGTGGTCTTCATTTCCGTGGCACTAGAGATTGTGGCTGTTCTGAAATATATGAGTGCTGCCCAGCACCAGGAAATACCAGGAAATGGGGCCACCTATAATTACATTATACCAAAGTTCCTGAGATAACCAGGACATTGTTTTCTTATTGCCCTGTTGTTCCAGAGCCTTTCACTGGAAACAGCCCTCATTCTTTTTTTTTTTTTACCCTCCTTCTTAATAAATTATTTCCTGCTTCTTTGACTGGATTCCGAGCTACAGTTAAATGCAATTTCTAAATTAGTATTTGACTTTAATGAAAATAAAACACAGAACTCTTGTTTTCCCAAAACAGGGCCTTGAGAGCTGCCTAAAAGGACCTGATAATTATAACAGTCAAGTTCTGATTGAAGCTACCGTCATAGCACTAACCAAATTACAACCACTTCTTAATAAGGTAACGATTCCCTACATGCAAGGAAAAATAAATACATTTTTAATGAAAATCAGTAGAACATCATGTTCTAGATCCTTTAAAGCCCAGCAGCCGCCTCATCGCAAACTGCTTCTATATCCTTCTTCCATTTCCTTGTTCTGAGTATCAGGCTTAGGATCATCGATACATTTTCTTTTGAATAATTCAGAAAATGAGGCTGATTCCCATTAAGAATACAAATTACCTCAATCACATTTCTGTCCTTATAGAATCCAGCTGCTTGATAGAAGAAAAATATTTACATTTCAGCAATAATTCTATTGTATTTGGTATGGCCATTTATTCAGTTTTATTAAATAATACCTCGACTCGATATTATGCTTTTCTTATGTAACCAGCCTGTGATGCAGGTGGTACAAGCATTACTAACCCCATTTTACAGATGAAGGCATTAAGGCCCAGGGAGGCAGACACCCTTGCAATCAGACAGCTGGCTAGTTTCCTGACTCTTATTTCCAGCCTTCTGTCTACTTCCTCTACCATGCTCGCTCTGATGATTCTTTCCCCCGGATTTCCTGAGTGCTTTTCTCACAACACCTCTGAGCACGGGGTAGCTCAGACCAGTAGAGAAGTTCACCCTGTGAGTGCCATTCAGTTTGTTTGGGCCCCCTCACATGAGGAAGGTTTCTGTGCCCAGTCGCAGAATAGGTGGGGCATGCAGCTGATCGGTGAAGGGGACGGACTAACCCTGGCTATCAGGTTCCCTATGGTTGGCCTTGAGGGCTTGGTGGGCCATTGGTCAGGAAGTGAGTGGGTGGTGTGTGCAGAGCAGGGTAGCTGACTCTGACGGATGGAGAAATAAGACATGTCTGAAGTTTGCCCTGTATCATTAACGTAGATGAGCTTTGATGGGGCTGTGTGTCATTAAGTGTGAAGTGTAAAGAGATGGGGAGGCAGCTGGTCAGAGAAGGCCCGTGGACCAGGGGCACCTGGGCAGGGCCTTGGCATGGAGGGAGCATCCGGTTGGTGTCTCTCAGGACAGTGAGGCTGAGATTTGGGATCCTAGGCTTTAGAGCTAGAAAGACCCTGAGTGATTATCTAAGCTCCGTCATCTGGTAGACCAGGAAACTGGAAAGGACCTTTGAGAGAAGAGCCAGGCTCGGAATTCCCTGTCCACTTTACCAAGTCCAGGGTCAGTCCTGGCACTGCCACTGAGCCAATAGCTGGCTGATCTGAGGGAATCACTTGACCAATTCTGGGGCCTCTGTTCCCTCATCCACAAAATGGGACTAATGCTATTTATACCATCAGTCAGTGAGCAAGTATGTATTAAATATCTGCTGTTGTGGCAGCCGTGGGCTTTGGGAATATGAGTTCAGAAAATGATGCAATCCCAGCTCACGTTTACATTCCAGTGGGAGAGGCTGCATCTACCCACAAGTCTGCATGGAATAAATTCCAAATAAATCTAAGGTACTTAGAGGAAGGAAGGCTAAGCAGTTGGGAGGGAAGGGGCTGCATCGAGGTTGAAGGTGGTGCTTCTGTAACCTTGCTGTGTAAGGAGCTCAGGACAACCTGAGATCTCATAACCCTCGAGCACTGCCTCAGTGTGTTATCACGCTGGTCATCATCCCCCTGCTGTGCCAAAGATTTCTCAAGCTCCTCTTTGGATAAGACCGGAGTTAGGGGGGAGCCCGTGCTGGGGGCCTCGTGCAGTGATCCAGGCATGGAGTTAGGAGTATCTGGACATGGGTGGCAGAAATGGAGAGGAGCAGGAAGAGCACACCATGACAAAGGAAGGTGCAGCTGGGCTTTGTCGTCGGTTTGGGGCACAGGAGAGTGTTGGTGCTGGTGAGGCTGCAGAGGACAGCCAGGCACCAGAGGCCTCTCAGAGATAGACCGGGCTGGCCTTTGGCCATGGGGGTGACTGGGGCAGGCTCCCCGTGAATGGCAGAGGGCTCTGCTAAACTGAGCATTCCTTGTGTGTGATGGCATACCCCAGCAGGAGTCCCCTCTGCACCGAGCTCTCTTCTGGGTCGCTGTCGCCGTGCTGCAGCTGGACGAAGTGGACCTGTATTCCGCAGGCACCGCCCTCCTGGAGCAGAACCTGCACACCTTAGACAGTCTCCTGCACGTCTTCAATGACCAGGTAACTGTCCCTGGGACACCTCCGGCCCTTCTCAGCTCCTGGCAAAGCCCATGGAAAGTGGCGCCTGTGGGAGCCTTCGGAGGCCCGGCTCCAGCCTTCCTTTAAGCAGCACTGCTTTGTGCTGGAATCAAACGTAGCCTCTAAAAGCCTGTTTAACTCACAACAGAACAGAAAGGCTGGAGCAGTACTAATGATAAAGGCAAAAACACGGCCAGTCGGAGCTAAGTCATTATCGTGGGTGATGTACTTCACGAAAAGTCAGTTGGGGAGGGTGGGTGGGAGCTGAAGATTCTATAAGAGCCTTGAGGATACTGTCAGTGTCTCTGGGGATGAAGGAAACCGGTGGCAGTTGCGGGGCGCGGTGGGCAGAGTGCTGGACCTGGAGTCAGTAAGACCTGGGTTCAAGTCCAACCTCAGCCACTCACTAGCTCTGTGATCCTAGCCAAGCTATTTTACCTCTGTCTACCTCAGTTTCCTTAATTGTAAAATGAAGATAATGATAGCACCTATCCCCCCACCCCCAGGGTTGCTTTGCCATTCTTAAAATGCTAGATGAATGTGATCTATTATTCTATCTCATTTTATTTTAAGACTTTGGGCAGGGGTGGAGAAGCTGCCGCCTACAGGCCACACGTGGTCCTCTAGGTCCTCAGGGGCGGCCCTTTGAGGGAATCCAAACTTCACAGAGCAAATCCCTTCATAAAAGGATTTGTTCTGTAAAGCTTGGACTCACCCAAGGACCTAGAAGGCCACATGGGGCCTAGTCTTAGGACTTTCTTTTGCTTTGATACAGGGGTCTCAGTTGTGTTATTCTTAGATTATCACCTGTGATTAAAGTTACTAGAATGAAGACAAGGGAAAGAGTGGATGGGGAAGACATTTTCCTGGAATAAGTGGGCTGTGGTAGAAAGAGTAAGAGACGTAATAATGAGCTGATGCAGCTCCTGTAAATGAGAGAGAAGCCGTTTTCTTCTCACCTGCCGTCTCCCCTTTTCATTCCCAGAGCCCAGAAGAAGTGTTCATGGAGATCCGGCAGCCTCTGGAGTGGCACTGCAAGCAGATGGACCATTTTGTGGGGCTCAACTTTAACTCCAGCTTTAACTTTGCCCTCGTCGGGCACCTCCTGAAGGGTAGGCCAGGAGAACCCGGGGCGGGAACCTTGACGTGGGTCATGTTTACATACACTGTCCTAGACAAGAGGTATTGAAGTAGCATTGCGTCAGGTTGTGTAGGGGAGCTCTCCTGGCTGGGCCCGTGCCCCGTGTCCCCAGCTCCCTGCATGCCGGCCTTCTAGTGAGCGATGTAGCCCCTCTTTCTGGCAATAGCTACAGACTGTTGATCAGCATCGTGCAGAGTATGGAGCCATATAGTGGTGATGGCTTGGAGGGAGTGTGCAGGGGACCAGCAGCCTTAAGCAATACCAGGGCTGGTCGATCTGCTGACTGGGGAGAGCTAGGCTGCCTGCTTTGTTAGCTTTCAGTGCTCCCCTTTAGTCCCAGGCAGTCAGAATAGGAGATGCTACTTTTCAGAGCTTAATATGCACCAGTGTGTGTCTTTTTTTGCCTTGTAAATAGAAATTTAGGTTTCTTTCCAAAAATAGTGTAGAAGTTTTCCCTGTAAGATGAAACACACACAGAGATTTAAATTAAATATTTTGGGATATGTAAATAACGAAGTGTTTGCTTCTTCCAAGGTTCTGAAAAATTTCCAGATGTCTTTTCTATTCATTGTCTTAAAACACGTCTAATAAATTGGTTAGCATTAATACTTTAAAGCTTACAGAAAGTTAACTTACACTTTCCTCTTGCTCTGAAGGGGAAAATATATCACTTGGAATGTCCACCACTCGTTTCAGTGTGTGTGTGTGTGTGTATGTGTGTGTGTGTGTGTGTGTGTGTGTGTGTGAGTGAGAGAGATTTTAAGCTTCTGGAGATTGTGTTCTGCTTCCTTTGTGTCCCCCTCAGCACCGAGGTCAGTTCAGTGACTCCATCAGTCCCGGTGGATGAGTCTGTTTATAATTCTTTGCTTCTTTGTTTGTTTAGGATTTCGGCACCCTTCACCTGTCACTGTTGCAAGAACCGTGAGGATTTTACACACACTGCTAGCACTCGTTAATAAACACAGGAATTGTGACAAGTTTGAGGTGAACACCCAGAGTGTGGCTTACCTAGCAGGTAAAACACCCATCTTTGCCATCAGTCCATAGTAAAGATCCCTAAGTCTTCAAGCTGAAAGGAATGAGGGAACTAGACCAGGTATTTTGGTTTGGATATTGAGGTGCCTGGAACGTTCTCTTAATTTCCATAAGTGCTGGCTCCTGAAGGAATAGCAGCCCCCCTTCCCCAGCACAGGCACCTAGAGCTGTCCCTTATTGCCAACACATCAGATCTAAAGTTCTTATAGGCACCATCTTCATCTCCTTGTGCTCTCTCTGGAGCATGCCTCTCATTCTTTCTAAGTGGACTTTTCATTAGTAAATGATATTCTTGCCTTCCTTTACTAGCTAGGTTAATGCAATTCAATAAAAAGTTATTTAATGACTACCATCTGCAAAGCAGTGAATATAAATAGATGATAATGACCTGAGCCAGGGTGCTGGCTGTGTGGATGAAGAAAAGGGATGTTCTAGCTAGATTCTTAAGGACTTAGGATGGACATGGCAACTGGTTGGACAAGAAGGTTGAGAGGGAGGAAGAAAATTGAGGCTAAGTCTAAGAAGAGAGAACGGTAATGCCCTCAGCAGATGGAGGGAGGTTCAGGGGAGATAGGCTGGCTGTAGTTTTGGACCCGTCAGGCTTGAGAGAATGGTAAGGAGGCCGGATGAAGATGTCCAGCGGCAGGCCGTGAGCAGAGACTGGAGCCATCGCGTGGCCCAGTCCAGGCCTTTGGCTAGAAGGCTTTCTCCCTTTAATCCAGTCTTCCCCGTGGTCCTCTCTTGGCAGCCGTACTGCCATCTGTTACTTCTCTATTCCGCGCTCCCTAAGGATCAGGTCATTTGTTTTGTACTCTGTTAATGGGGTTTTTTATGTTGTGTACCTTAAAAGCAGGAGAGAACACTAGGCCTGGGATTCTGGACATCTGGGGTCTACTCCTGGCTCTGCTCGCTACTAGTTGTCTGTCCGTTTTCTTTTTCTGAGCCTTAGTTTCCTCATCTCTAAAATGGAGATAATACTTCTCCTGCTTACCTGACAGAGATGTTAGGATCAAAGAAAGTAATGAATGGGAAGAAAACACTTTAAGAATGGCAAAGCCCTGCACAGTTGTTAGGAGTGGGCGTGACTCATGGATTTCGTGTTTCTGTGTGCCATGTTCCCCAGTAAAAGGCTGGCCCGCTGAGGACCAAGACTGGGTCTTCTCAACGCTCCACGTGCCCTGTGTGGCGTTTGCTCATGCACCGTGGCCCACCCCTCCTTAGCTTCCTGTCCCCCTGCCTTGCGTGGTACCTGTCATTCGCCAGCCTTTTCATTTGTCCTGTGACTTTTGTTCTAGCTTTACTTACCGTGTCTGAGGAGGTTCGAAGTCGCTGCAGCTTAAAACATCGGAAGTCACTCCTGCTAACTGATATCACAGTGGAAAACGTGCCTATGGATATATATCCCATCTATCACAGTGACCCCAGCCTTAGGTAAGTGGCATGAACTCTGCCAATGATGGCTGTGCTGACGCAGAGAGCCAACGAGATGGGCAGTCCAGAAGGGAAAAAAAGTGAACCATCCAAAAGAAATTTACGTTTGGTTTTGGAAAACATTTCGTGTGATGAGGATTCACACAAAAAATTTACTACCATACTTTGGTTTTGACTGCTTGGGCGAATAGAGTCACTTTCACATTAAATAGCTAAATTGTTTTGCTTCATTTAAATGGACACAAAAGCTGGCATTTGCCAGTCCCGCAGGTCCTGTAGCCCGGGGGTGCCATGGGGCACTGTCCTGTGATATTACCATGCACCATCCCAAGGTAGGCAGTGAGGGAGTCCTTGTAACATCCAGAAGCTGCCCAGAATTGAGGAAGAGACCCTCCTATTCAGGTGTTCATCAGACTGATTGTGTTTGTATATAAAACGCTGATGTTGGGCAGTTTCCTATACCGTGGATCACCGAACTTTGAGAGCCAAATCTCGTGTCCTCTCTGTTTGTTAGCAGGAAGTATGTTTTCTTCCCAAAGAGTAGGTGTTAGCCTGACCCTTTCATGCCTCTGTAACAGTTAAGGTTATTCTTGTGATATGTTTTTAAAAAAAAAAAAAACAAAAAACAGACCAGCCTCCTAGTTAAATGTAGAGTTCAGGGAATTGACTTTTCCTCTTTTAAATACAAGATATTCAGTAACTTTCCACTAACATTGTGAAGGCCTAATTTGTTTTTCATTTAGAACCACTTAGAAATCGTCTTTGATAATTGCTGTTTTTGTTCTGGAAGCAAATCAGGTAGACCTGCAGGCCAAACCTTTCATTCTTTCAACCTCGCTTTTCTTCAGAATGTTTAAGAAACAATTATCTAAGCTTGAACCCAGGATCACTTTCTCTTGGATTCCTTGTGTTTGAATGAAGCAATTTGGACTTTAGGATTTTCCTCTTGGGAGTATTCATTTAAATTCAGTTTTGAGCAATGCCCGGAGTCTGCCCATATATGTTATGCTGGTAAATTCTGATTGAATTGGCAAGGCAGAGGTGCGGGAACTGATCTTTTTTAAACTAAATTGTCCTGACAAGATGGCTTTTAATTTATTACTCCTATTGTAAGAAATATTGTAATGAAAGAGATTTGGAGGGTTATGCCCTTGTACTGCAATTTATAATTAATTGATAGCAGTAACTGGTAACTTGAACTGCTGTTGTGTGTGTGGGGTGGGGTGGGGTTGTCTGTGAAACCAATTTATTTATTTTTGGGTGTTTAAATCTTTCAGGACACTAAAGGAAACACAACCCTGGTCCTCTCCAAAGGGTTCTGAGAGACATCTTGCAGCCAGCTACCCTCCTGTGGGCCAAACTAGCCCCCGAACCAGAAAATCCATGAGCCTGGATATGGGGCAGCCTTCCCAGGCCAACACGAAGAAGTTGCTTGGTCAGTTTGTGTGTTCAGTTGGCAGTGTTATGAACTCTTATTTAAGAAATAGCTGTCTTTCTTTCAAAGATCAAATACTTTCTTTTTTCACTGGGAAAACAGCATGGTAGAAAAAAACCACTAAACTTAGCCATCTGGGTTCAAATTCTGTCTCTACAACCTGCTAGTTAAATGACTTTAAACAAATCCTTTAATTTCTCAGCCTCAGTCTCCTCATTGGCTTGCCTTCTTTACAGGGCTGTTGTGGGAGTAGTCATGGGGTATTTTTTATTAAGTGTTCAGGATTGCTGACTGATTCTTTTAGATTTTGCAAGAGAAAATTGGCAGAAGCCTTAGGTGACCAGTTTCTAGCTTTTGTGATTAAAGACAGTTGTTTGATAGCTTGGTGAGGCACTCTCTCCTTCTTTATTTATTTATTTATTTTTTGGTGAGGCAGTTGGGGTTAAGTGACTTGCCCAAGGTCACACAACTAGGGAGTGTTATGTGTCTGAGGGCAGATTTGAACTCAGGTCCTCTTGACCCCCAGGGCTGGTGCTCTATCCACTGCACCACCTAGCTGCCCCAAGGCACTCTCTGTGAGGACTTCTAGGCATAGTAGCTATGAGCTTAGGTCTGCAGTCTGTCTCAGGGCTCTCCTTTCTGCCCCATTTTAAGGTCAACTGCCATAAGACACGGCTCTTCCAATAAAGGTGTCCTGGGCTCAGGCAGGGGCTTCCAGAGCCCCTGGCCTATGTTTCCAAAAATTTCAGCCTAAGATCAGAATCTTTCATTTTGATACAAGTAACTAATAGTTCACTGTTGCCTATTTTTTTCTTCTCCTAAAGTCAGACCTTTGAGAGTCAAAGCTTTTCAGCCAATGTGAAGGATATGATTACATTTTAAAAGTTATATTTAAATTAATATGTCAGTTAAAAGAGCAAGTGAGATTAGAAACTGTAATTAAATTATTTTATTTTTCAGTAACAGAAAGTCTACCAGTGAGAGCTCACCTGCCATACAGACGTTATCCTACAGAAAAAAAGCCCAGGGGTCCAGGTGACCATACAGTGGCCTTTTGACTGAAGGAGCTTGATGCTGACCAATACCTTTCATAGCTCAATAGGTCTTTGTAATCCACTAATGACGTAAACGCGTTATCAGACTGACTTATGCCATATGAATAGAATAGATGGGCACAAAGAAATCCAGAAATAAAACAGACCGATTGGGGTCGGGGGAACCATTCCTATAAAATGTGAAAGAGACAGACTTGGAGTCACAATCATAAGCCAGTTCGCCAGTAGCCAGTTGCCAGAACAAGCATCGTCTTTGTTTCAGACGACTCGATCTCCTCCTATTTGTTGGATGGAGCTTGTCACGGAAGGTTAAATAAAAGTGCAGGAGAAAATTAGTGTCAGTCTGCATACAGAGTAGTAGTGCTTGAGTTTTGTAAAATACCTGGAAATTAAATAACCATCCCCTAATATGAGCTGTCTGGCTTTTTATAAACAGGTTGGGTAAAAGGACTCTGGGTTTTAGGTTTTCTTTAAGCCATGCCCGGAAGCTACAGGCACCATCAGGAACACAATAACAATGGCTTCCATTTCTGTTGTGCTGCGTGGTAACAAGGTGTTTATGTGTGCATTATTTCCTTTGTTCTTCACAACAACCTGGTGGGGCAGATGGTTCTAGGATTGTTACCCTCATCATGCAGACGGGAATTGAGAATCCAGTGAAATCACCTGTCCAGGCCACCCACATAGGAGTAATCAGAGCTGTGACCTATGCTCAGTTCTGGTTGCCTGGCCTGGCCCTTCCCACACTGTCTTCTGCAAAGAACCAGGATGGATTGTGGAATTATTCAGTTACTTGAGGCCTCTCGTTTTGATTCTGAGTGAGAGAATGTGCCCCAGTGAGGGCCTTGAGGGAGAGAGGTCAGGGCTCCAAGTTATTCTTCAGTTGGTAATACTTTGAACCAAGTATGAGACTCGGGGAGAAAGTGTCCATCCTTAAAAAATGACACTGTAGTATTCCTGTTAGTGCCCCTAAGCATGAGTCTTCATTCACAGGATCATAGGATGCACAAGCTAATAGGCACTGTGGACGTGATGTAGGCCAACCCCTCATCTTACAGAGGAGGAAACTGAGGCCTGGAGAGGTTAAGTGACTTGATGGCATGACTTGTTAGTAGAAGGACTGATCAGAATTGATTTTTGCCAGAACCCAGATGTCCCTCATGATTTCTCTGTGGTGTCAGAATCGGGGTTCCAGGTGTGTTTCCTTGTGATCATGAGACTTCTTTGACCGAGCTGACCTTGGCTACTGCCTGAGGCACCCTCCTTCCTCTCCCTCCTGGTACCGTGGCATTCCCTTGTGGGAACAAAAACATCTGTGGCCCCTAACTTGGGGAGACACCTGATGATTTTAGCCTGGTCCAGGGTAGCCACATGCCCAGGAGCTCAGAATCCCCTCGGGGTGTGGGCAAGTCATACTCACCCTCTGCTCGAGCAGGATAGACAGCAGAGACTGTTGTAGGATCTGCTCTGTTCCTGGACTTGGCTGTTCTCAGCGCTGATGCTTTTGCCCTCTCTGCCTGTAACCCTTTACAGGGACAAGGAAAAGTTTCGATCATTTGATATCTGATGCCAAAGCTCCTAAGAGGCAAGAAATGGAGTCTGGAGTCACCACGCCCCCCAAAATGCGGAGAGTAGCAGAGAACGACTATGAGATGGGTGAGAAGCAGCCTACTCTTGGCGGCTCCGTTAGAAGCTCTCCCCTCCGGGGGCAGAGCCTCTGCCGTCCTTCAAATGGTCACCCTGGGCAGCAAAGTCGTCGCGCCTCCGAGGGAGGCTTCACAGGGCTCACAGGGAAATGATCAGTCCCCAGGATCAGTAACAGCTGCCGGTCTCTCTTCTCTTGCAGAAACCCAGAGGATCTCGCCGCAGCCACACCTGCCACTCCGGAAAGTGTCTGTGTCTGAATCCAATGTTCTCCTGGATGAGGAGGTGCTCACAGATCCCAAGACCCAGGCTCTCCTTCTCACTGTCCTGGTAAGGACGCCCTGCCCTGCTCCCTCTTAACACCTTCGGTTGGCAAGTACATCAGGGAGACCTGGCAGGGAGAGGGGCACACACCGGGGGGGTCGTTTAGCACATGCAGAAATGAAAGAGATCAGTAAAAATTCATTTTAAAAAGTAAGAAGGGGAAGCTAGGTGGTGCAGTGGAAAGAGCACTGGCCCTGGAGTCAGGAGGACCTGAGTTCAAATGTGGCCTCCAATGCTTGATACTTACTAGCTGTGTGACCCTGGGCACTTGACCCCAATTGTCTCACCAGAAAAAAAAAAAAAGTAAGGGAAAGGAGCCTCCCCTTCTCACCACACCAGACAGGAGAGTATTTGCTAGTCCCTGAGCTGACTTTAAATGACCCATCGTGATTTAAACTCTAATTAATGATGATTTGGGGGGATGTTTTTATGAACTTAAGTTGACTAGGATACATACTCCATTTATTAGGGTTACTCTACTTTTGAAGGAAGCAAAAGAGTATTAAGTGTCATAGATACTAGAATGTTTTCAGATCCAGCTATTTCAGGCTGGTGTGTTCATCAGTGTATGAATACCCCAGGGAGCCACAGACCAGGAGTCATGATGTCAGTAATGGATTCTTTTTTCTCTTCTTGTCCTGACAGGCTACTCTGGTTAAGTATACTGCGGATGAATTTGACCAGCGCATTCTCTATGAATATTTAGCAGAAGCCAGTGTTGTCTTCCCAAAGGTTTTTCCAGTTGTGTAAGTATGTGAATTTGCTTTTTACTTAGCCTGTTCCATTTTCCTGAAGTTAAATGCTCCATTAAGTTTTGAGGAAATTGCTACTACTACTACTTCTGCTGCTGCTGCTGCTACTGCTACTGCTCTTCCTACTACTATTACTGCCACCACCATGACTGCTGTTACTATCACCACCACCACCACCACCACCGCTGCTGCTATTGCCACCGTCACTTTATTATCACCCATTCCTACTATTAGCACTACCATCATCTCGCCACTACTACCATTACTGATACTACCACCACCACCACAGCCACCACCATGACCCTTACTACTACTGCTCCTAATGTTCCACCACCACCACCCCTATTACTAATACCTTCTACTATTACCACCACCACCATTACTATGACCTCTACTACTATTACTGTCACCACTGCTGTCACTATTACTACTAACACCACCACCAGTACTACTCCTACTTTTGTAGTCTTGTCAGGAAAGGAGTTGACTGAGGGAGAGTGTTGAGGTAACATTGAATGTATATAGAGCCTTCATTCCCGGCTGCACAGAGAAGTATGGCTCAGTACCTCCCAACCCCATTTGCCTTTCATTTCTGGACCTTCCCTGGCTTTCCTTTACTCACTCGAGGGCCCTTGTCCATCTCCTAATAGCAGATGGTCAGACATTTACAGACTGATGTGTCGCCGTGTTGCTTCCCCAGTTCTCCGCTTAGAAGGAGCCCCCCATCTGGTTCCCCCAGATATTTCTTGTGAGCCCTCCTGAGACAGTCTCTCCAGGTGTTATTTAAATGTAGAAGGTTCAAGGGGAGTAATCCACATTTCTGAGCACTCTCCTTCCTGCCAGTTCATTCTGCAAAGTTTATTTTTTAAAATACTACCTGTTTATAAAGTCATTTCTCACATACTAATTGAGGGGAGCAACAGGTAGGTAGCCTTGTAATTTATATTTGTGGGTTTCCTTATCTTTTGCCAGCAGATTTTTTTTTTCCTAATTGTGTTTACTTTGACTGGTATTAAGCATTTTTTGTTTTTTGTTTCTGTTCTTTGGTCATATATCAGCAGAGATAGGAAGGAGAGAGCTTAGAGAGAAGCTAAGCGGCAGCCTGCCAGGAGTTAAAATTAAGTGCAATTGAATGAATAGAGGGGATTTATTCAGTGTTTACTATGTGCCAAGCACTGTACGGATACTCAAGAAACCACCAGTAAAAGCTTGACAATATCTGTTCTCCTAGAAAGGCCTGGAAGTCCTAAGTGTGCTGCAATGGTGAGCGCCCAGGCCCAGGAAACCTTAGCTTCCCTCAGATGATAGTGGCTGGTGGCCTGGAGGGCAGAGAAGCAGGGAATATGGAGAGACGTGGCCGGGGGGTCCTCCGTCTTAGGGAGGCAGTAGGTTGGGGGCCTTCCATCTCATCCAGCATGAGAGGGGAAAGCTGGGAGTGGAGGGAGTGGGGGACAGTCAAGTGATAGACTTAGCCGAGTCTCATATTTGGTCATCGCAAGTTTTCATTTCTTTCCCCATTTTTCTTTTAAAGACACACCAGGTAGGGATGGTCTCTGTTGTTGTTGTTGTTTGTTTGTTTGATCTTTTTAAGTCATCTCTGGACTCTGTTTTTTAGACATAATTTGTTGGACTCAAAGATAAATACCCTGCTGTCATTATGCCAAGACCCCAATTTATTAAATCCAGTCCACGGGATTGTGCAGAGCGTGGTCTATCATGAAGAGGCCCCACCACAGTACCAGACAGCGTACCTCCAAAGTGAGTCTGCCCGGCGGGTAGGGCTGGGGCGGCAGAGGGGGCAGCGCTCCGAAGCAGGTGCCACCCTCAGCCTGCCAGTCAGGCTTCACTGCTCTTGTCACGGCTTCCTGAGTTTTTTTAATAGAGCCACCGAAATCAAGTAATAACTTTTCTCATTTTAAATACAAATGTCGTTTTATGTTAGCAGTGCATTTCAGAAAGCTCCACTGTCTCAGCTGAAGACATTTTTAAAAATATGTAGCTAGGACATATAGCATCTACCTTGCCCCTTGTTTGATTTTTCTAAGAAAAGAAATGCTTGGTATGAGTTAATAGCCTCTGTTCTGTTGTAGGTTTTGGTTTTAATGGTCTGTGGAGGTTTGCAGGACCATTTTCAAAGGTAAGAATCCTGTGTTTTCTTGTTAATGCCAACAGAATGTTTTGCAAATCAGAGATGTGCCCTGATTTTAGAAAATGAACTGTTAGGCAAACTTAGTTCTGAAGGGGTGGGTGAGACTTCCCTGCTGAGTTCCTTCTAAGATGCCGTCTCATCTACATCTTTTGTGGAGCCTCTGTTGTGTGAAGTGAGGGAAGCCTGCAGAAGCACTTTGAGGGCTCAGGCCCGGGCTTTTCTTATCTCTTCAGTGACCGACTTTGCCTGCTCGTGACTGCTGTTTCAGAGTGAGGAAAAAGCAGATTGTTACTGTGCTCATCTCATTCCTTTTAAGTCCTTTTTTAAGCCCCTCCTAGGAATCCTCTCAGTACAAATATACTCAGTTTATATATTAGTTTCCACATGATGTATTGCATTAAAAATTTTCATTTTTTATGTATCAAAAACTATTCTTTGATTGCTATCTGGCCTAGCACTTGATCACCTGGACCATAAATGATGATTGAAGGCAGCGCTTTTTCTGTCATCTCTCTGCCAAAAAGTGCTCTGTCCTGGCCTAACCTGATGCAGCCCTTGGGTCCCCCAAAGATCCCTCAGAACATGGCATTGGGCGGGGCTTCGACTCTGGGACCAGTGGGGACCATGCACCAAATGTGGAGCTCGGTGAAGGGTGGTCAAGTTTGGGGCTCTAGTACCTCTTGAAGACCTTCTACAGACTTCTAGAAGGCTGACAGTCAACTTTGGGAGAGGGAACAGACATCGAAGGAGATCGTACGTTGTCGAAAGTACTGAAGAGTTAGCCCCTCTCCCCACGGTATGGCTACAGTGCTCATGATGTGGTTGGTGGTAACTAAATAGGGGTCAATTGACTGAGTGAATTCTTCCCCAGTTGTAAAGAGTTAGGTTTTTAACTTGTGAATTTTTTTAAAAAATCTTGACATTAGTGATTGGTGTGGAGAGCTGCCAGCGTAGAAACGTTTTCCTTCTGTAGCTTCCTAACTCATCTCCGAGAGTCACAGTGGCCAGGCCCCACGAGGTCAGCACATAGCTAGTGTATGTCAGAGGCAGGGCTCAAAGACATCACGCCTTCCCGGCTCCGAGCCCAGCTCTCCCACAGTGACAGGTTCCTTCCTAGGAGTAATTTGTGGTATTATTGAATGGTATCTGCTAGAGATGCGGCGACGTAAGAACGCTGCCCTAGGAGCACTGTTGTGAAAGTGCAGATTTTTAGTCGTGTGTCCTAATAGAATACGTGGTGTACATCTGGATCTGTGAAATGACTGCAGACGTGAAGGCGGCGGAGATGTATACTACAGGTTGTTTTCTCTCACTGGCTCTGATCTGCGAAGAGAGCGAGAAGCCCGAGGCAGGTTTTGTCTGCTTATTTGTTCAAGAGGAAGCAGAATGTAGAGCAGGCAACCTTTGGCTCATGAAAAATTCATCTAGTAGCTTCAGGGGCCTTCGGACCACTTGGTGTTTAAGCTTTCTTAAGGAGAAGAGGAAGAGGACCGCTGTTCAGGGTGGATGGGGCACTGATAATGAAGGATGCGGCCCTGCCAGCTCTTTGATCGGCTTTTGTTTTCTGTGCCAAAAATATGACCCTTGCATTGGAAAAGACCGAACAAAAATGACTGGTCGGTTGTGCTATGCCTGCTGGGAAGAGAGCTAGTGAAGAAGCCCTTGGTGACGTCATGTAGCTGGACCCGGGTGGCCCGGAGCGGGGCTCCTTGTCCTGTTTCCTGTCCCTGGACTCTTCAGGCAGCAGCCCAGCAAAGCCTCTCGATGGACCCCTTCTCTGAATGGTCTTGTTACATGCATCAAATAACATAGAATTACAAAGGAAATCAATTAGGTTGAAATACAGTTATCAGAATTTTTTTAAAACACAAGTTCCCACCTCCCAGATGCATTAGATGCTAGGGTCTAAGTAGAGCCTAGGCCTGTGTTAGCAGGTGTGATTGCTGAGCCTCTGACGGTAATCTGGGACAGCTCCCAGAGAATGGGAGAGATGGCCCAGGATTGGAGAGGGGGTGGGGAGGGACAAAGGGGGAGGTTCAAGCGCCAGACTAGGAGTCCGCAAGGCCTGGGTGTAAATCCTACCTTCCTGGTTGAATTGCTGTTTTTTTCTCTTCTGTTGAATTTTGTTTCCTCTTTCTGATGGTTCCTCCTGTTGGTTTTAATTTTTACTTACAACATCACTAATGTGAAAATATGTTTAACAGGAATGTAAACGTATAGCCTGTATCAGATTGTACACCGTCTTGGGGAGGGTAGTAGGGAGGAAGGGGGAAAAAAATTTTAAACTCAAAAGCATATGGAAGAGATTACTGATAAATCAAAATAAATTAATAAAAAATTAAAAACAACAACCAAAAAATCCTGCCTTCCTGGGCGAATCAGCCCAAGAGTCTTCAGAATTCTTGACCCTCACCTCTCCAGGTTGTGGTGAGGCCCCAGTGAGGCAGGGGTCTGGAAAGGACTTTGAAAACCTTTGGCCCCTCTTGTACAGGCCTCTTCCCCATGTTTGTGTTCTGGAACCTGGGATCCAGGCTGGACCCTTTGTCAGAATAATGTTTTTAAAGACCTATAGTAAATACACAGAATAACCATTTATATTGAAACAAGGTATCGAAATATTTATTAAAAACAAGTTCCCGGGGCAGCTAGGTAGTACAGTGGATAGAGCTCTGGCCTTGGAGTCAGGAGGACCTGAGTTCAAATTCGGCCTCAGATACTTGACACTTACTAGCTGTGTGACCCTAGGCAAGTCACTTAACCCCAATTGCCTCACCAAAAAAGCCAAAAAAAAAAGGAAGCATCCTGGGCAATCTTGGGAGGTAGGAGGGGCCTGGAAACCAAGGCCGAGTGAGCCCTTGCAGGGGGCACTGAGAGGGAGTTCTGATCGGGTCTCGGAACTTCTGTCCTCCTGGAAAATAGGGTTATGTGTGTAATTGGCCTCCAAACCAGGCCAAACCCCACAGCTCTCTGTAAATGACAGTGAGTTAAGCTTTGCACAGCAAACCTGAATGGATCCGCAGATATCCTCTTTCCCTTTGCAGCAGACGCAGATCCCAGACTACGCCGAGCTCATCGTCAAGTTTCTCGATGCCTTGATTGACACGTATCTGCCTGGAATTGATGAGGAAGGCAGTGAGGAGTCTCTGCTGACACCCACCTCTCCCTACCCTCCCACAGTGCAGAGCCAACTTAGTATTACTGCTAATCTCAACCTTTCCAACTCCATGACCTCACTGGCAACTTCCCAGCATTCCCCGGGTAAGTAAAGTGTGATTTAAGGGAGTCTGAATAATACTGGTCAGATACAAGAACATTTCAGGTCCTTCTTTGATTTCAGTTTGTGGCAGACTTGCATAGACATTCTCGCTGATTTAAACTATGGTTTGCTACTTTGCAGATGTAGCCTTTACCACTGAGGTGATGTGAAGATAGATGTTAGCATGTTCTCAGGACGCCGATGGGTTTGTCTGGTCACGAGCCATGCCCAGGCAGGTATATAGCAGCCTATAACAGAGCTGCTGCTGTCTTTGGACCGTTATGATGCAGGCAAGCGGTCAGTTTTGCAAAAGAAGAGACTTAATTTAACAAACATTTATGTATTAAACCCCTATTATATGCAGACTATCATAGAGAATTACATAGTTTGGATAAGAACTTACAGTCTGTAGTAGGAAGGGATGGCACCCAGATTATTATAATGCAGAAATGCATTAAAATTTGCACCATAAGATGCTTTTGAGGTCTGAAAGGTCAGACATCATTACTGGACTGGTGATAGAAGAAGATAGGAAAGGCTGGGGGTGGCCCTGGAGATAGAGAGCACAAAACGTGGCCAGTGGGTCAGCAGGAGCCCAGAACGCATTTGGGGCCCAGGCGGGTCCAGGTGTGCAGTGAGGCTAGAAAGGCAAGGCAGAGCAGACAGGAGAGCCTCGAAGGCCTGGTGGAGGGGCTTACATTGTTTGGTATTGCATAAGTAGTCACTGTAGAATCCCTAACAGAGGGTGACATGATCAGCCCAGGGACATGGCTCCTTATCCTCTGGTCACTTAGAACCAAGAAGTCTGCTGAGGAAAGTAGCTCTTTAACACCTCTTTGATTTATTCCTTGCCTTAGCCTCTCTTGGCACAGGGAGCCTCTTGACTTTAGAGCTGAGATTTTCAGGCTCTAAGAAACCACTGAATTGGGGTGGGAGAGGCCCCATGGATGGAGGGCGTCCGCCAGACCTGGATTCAGGGCCTGCTCCTGACTCATATTGACTGGGCAGCCCTGGCAAGCCCCTGGGCTTCTCATGAAACACCAAAGCTGAAATAATCAGAAATCATCATAGCTGGGAGTGACGTGGCAAGGAGAATCCTATGTGGAGCAGCCTAGGGCTTGGACCCTGGGCCATGTTACAGCCTGATGCAGCGACTGGTGTTAACAGTGAGAAATAGTCATTGAGGTTAAGTCCTGATTTCAGAGAACAGGGACTTGAAGAAGTGATTCCCCAAAATGGCTAAAATTTGGTTAACCTCAGGCACCTTTGCTCTTACTGGATTTTTAACAAACGTTTTGGTGCTTGAAGACAGAGACGAGTTACAGGAACTTGTTGCTCAAAGGAGAATGAGCTTTATATTTGGAAGTGTCTTTGTCCCTCGTTCCCCAGCAACCATGGAAAGGGATTCCTGCACTTGGAAATGACTGTGATACGATCCTAGGACCCGGTCATTAAGAGACAGGTGACGCCAGGTAACCTTCAAGGCACCTGTTGTTTGTGGGAGAGTTTCCCGGCTCTGGCAGCCACAAAAGGAGATGGACGTGTGTCGGGGAGGAGACTTTGAAAGTCCCTCTGCACCAGAGCCGGCATGGCACTCGCCTGGGGAGGCTCTGGCCCTCGCACGGCCTGGTGGGGTCAACCTGGCCCAGACCCCGCAGGCGAGGCACATCTGGGGAAGGAGGCTTACAGGTCCAGATCCAGATGTGGGTGTGCCAGCTTGTGTCCGTGTGCGTGGGTACATCCCTGTGATGCTAGAGAGGAGAGAGCAGAGATGGTTTTTCATCAAGTTTCCTTATAAAGCATACGTGGCTTACTTTGTTTCTGCACGCACTCCCACCCCTGCCCACCCCCCAGGAACGAGGGGCATCTAATCTAGTCCCTTCCTTGCCTCTTGAATCTACTCACGGACCAGTGGGTGGGCCATTTCACTGTGCTGCTTCTGACCATTGCATTTTGTTTATCAAAGCAAATGAAAATGTGGCCAGCGATGAAATCCATTTGATTCTCCAGAGTTATTGCTATTGTTTCAGAAAGCTGTTTAGAAAGGATGCTCTTTAGCCGGAAGGGAATTTTCAAGGCCCCCTTTCTGAGCCCCGTGTCTCACAGAAGAGACCTCTCAGAGGGGAAGGAGTCTCACTCCCAGTCAGAACGTTGGCAGGGATCCCACATCCATGTAGCCCATCCTTATACAAGAGGAAGTCCCCATGGCCTCATGCACCCTCCTGATGCCTGGCCTTGATGGGGAGCTGACTTTCTCCAAGGTGGTCCGTTCCATTTTGAGACGATTCTGATAACTAACAGGTTTGTCCTTCTCTCTGTCTCCTGTCAGCTTCTCCCCACAGCTCCCCACTTCTGCCACCTGGGCCAGGCCCTTCAGAAACCTCCGAGCTGGCATGGTGGCTTCACCTGGTCACCCCCATTCCCTTATGACTCTCCTCTGCCCAGCAGTGCTCACGTTGGAGCAGAGTTTGTTGTTTTCCTTTTGTGCTGCAGTCGCGCCCCCAAAGTGTGTGCAGTCCTTTGGGTTCCAAGCCCAGGCATGCAAAGTCAGCGATGAAGTATAGTGAGAAAATCAGGGTGTCAGAATGTCTCCTCTGGGGTCTGCAGCAGAGCCCTCTGTGACGCTGCCCCTGAGCTTAGCAAACGCTCATAGAACACCCGCTGCATGCAGAGCAGGGTCATGCTGGCACCCTGCGCTGGAGCCCTTGCTACCTGACCATCTTCCCATTTTTTACACACGCTGTGAGCCTCTCCAGTGGGCGTGCTCGATCAGTAAGTGTTGGTTCAATGCCTTCATGGCAAGTACTGAGTAAAGGCAAAAATGAATTGTCCCTGCCTTCAAGGACCTTCTGTTCTATTGAGGGAAATGTATGTATACGTGGAAGGCTGTTAGGTGACACCATGGTGCACGGAGCACTGGATATGGAGTTGTGAGTTCAAATCCAGCCTCAGACAATTACCAGTTGTGTGACTCTGGGCAAGTTGCTTCATCCTGTTTGCCTCAGTTTCCTCATCTGTAAAATGCACTGGAGAAGGAAATGGCAAACCATTCCGGTATCTCTGTCAAGAAAACCGCAAATGGGGTCACGAAGAGTTGGACATGACTGAAACAACTGAACGGAACTGAACAAACCAGATTGGACAGAATCGAGCCCAAACTATTTAATTTGTCTAGCTTTGTTGAGAATGGAATTAAGGCAGATCAGGAATTGCTTAGTTGTTCTGCTTTTAGCAGAGTTAGAGGAGGTAACAGACTAGTTGGCTGGACTGTTTCACCAACTCATTGCTTTCCTCCTGGTAGGGGCTGGGGCACAGAGGAGATGCTTCCAGCATGCTATCACTCCTGTTTATCCCTCCACTGACCCACCCCCAGGTGCTCTGCACCTTGTCTCTGCCCCTTCTTGGTGAATTTCCCCACATCTTGATAAACACTCGTCCCTTTCCTTCGTTGGGGTGAAAAACATAGAACCTGACATTACAATTAAAGTAACAAGTCAGAGACAGGATTGTTCCCCCAGAGACACGTGGCCATGGGGGGAATCTGCTGCTTCATCTCCCCTCCACCCCTAACAAAGCAAATAGCAGGCTTTTTGTATCCTAAAAAAAATTGTCAAACTAGAACCAACCTAGAACCTGTTTTACGGGCAGGACAAAGGTTGTCTAAAGCTAGACTTGTTTCGTCTGTGGTTATCTGGGACAGCTTCTCTTATATAGCCTCATAGGGACAACGGGGCCAAGAGCACCTCAAGCACAGGCCTGCCTCATGTGCAGGGACATGGAGCCTCCTTCTGAAGTGGAGGACGTCAGTGCCAGGACCCCCCTCGTGGTCGCCATGCCTTCTCTTACCATCTGCTAGTCATGGATTGTGTCCCACCCAGCCCTCATTCTAGACTGAGAGGTGAAAGAGACCACAGAGGCAGTGGTGTGCTGGCTGACATTTAATGACCCGCTCTGCAGAAAAACACAAACTGGACACACGCTGAGGTTTCAGCTGCATTATTCACAGCGTCTCCATCACTTTCTTAAGTCAAGGCAATCAACAAGACAAGAAAGCAAGCCCTACTTTGTAGCATTCGTCACTTTCTGAGGTATAAATGCGCACACTGAACACTTCACGACTGACTCTTAGCAAGCTGGCTCCATCACGCCCCTGCTTGGAGGTCATTGATAGCCATGAGGTCAGATTTTCTGCCTTGCATTAAGATCTCTCAGCATACTGTCAGTTGGCCAGTGGCAGAACTGGGGCTGCAGCCCGAGTTCCTGGGCTTGTGAGCTGTTCTTTCTATTACCGGACACTGCCCATCATCATACACTCTTGCCAGTATCTTCTCTTACGTTAAAGCCAGCAGTCCTTGTCCTCTGCAGAACTTCCTTTTCATTGCCTTCCATAGCTTATGTTAAAAAGCCAGGAGTCTGCCAACAATTAGAAAACCAATAGGGTTTGCCTGTTTTGTGACTCCTACTCTTAATCTGTTGGCAGTTTATTTTTACCAGCTCTTCTCTTCTGCGGGGCTTTTTCAGTGACAAAATAGCATTGATACTGGCAAACTGATTAAGAGGCTTTAAAATCTTTTTTTATAGGCTAAGTACGGTAATGACAGTTCAGTCTTAAGAATGTGAGTGTAGGCATAATATACTATTTTCATTTTTGTTGCTCTGTTGCTTTTTGGAAATCAATCATGGCTTTGAAAAATTAATCTTAATTCTCCAGCCCTCATTTTAATGAATTATAATCAGTTATAATTTATGTTATATATGTAAAACATGTTATATATGTATGTGTAATATGTTATATGTAGTTATATCTGTATGTAATATATATAATGTAATGAGTATAAATCAGTTATAAAATCCATGAGACAATAAAAGAAAAAAAGGCAGTCTCATTTGAAAGAACTACAGAAGTCATAAAATATCTAGAAGTCACAACTTAATTAGGTCTAATGATATTTAATGCTCATGGCTGGGCTGTGCCAATATGATAAAAGTGATAATATTACCA